TAGACTAGACTATAGACTAGACTATAGACTAGACTATAGACTAGACTATAGACTAGACTATAGACTAGACTATAGACTAGACTATAGACTAGACTATAGACTAGACTATAGGACTAGACTATAGACTAGACTATAGACTAGACTATAGACTAGACTATAGACTAGACTATAGACTAGACTATAGACTAGACTATAGACTAGACTATAGACTAGACTATAGACTAGACTATAGACTAGACTATAGACTAGACTATAGACTAGACTATAGACTAGACTATAGACTAGACTATAGACTAGACTATAGACTAGACTATAGACTAGACTATAGACTAGACTATAGACTAGACTATAGACTAGACTATACACTAGACTATAGACTAGACTATAGACTAGACTATAGACTAGACTATAGACTAGACTATAGACTAGACTATAGACTAGACTATAGACTAGACTATAGACTAGACTATAGACTAGACTATAGACTAGACTATAGACTAGACTATAGACTAGACTATAGACTAGACTATACACTAGACTATAGATAATTATAAAAAGTACCGAAAATGTCGTGGTAGAGAGTGATGAAAAGATCTCTTTGCCGATAACTACTCTAAACTAATTTGAGCAATTACAACTCTGTCTGATAAGAATGAGGACTTAAATCCACTCTTAATTAGAATGTGTATCAATTTACTTTATTGCAGAAAATCATAAAGACTTTTAATTAAACCCCGTCTAAGATCATATCGGTGAAGAGAAATACATACTTTTTACTGCTTTATAAATAGCAGTAAAATGTTTAATAAAATGTTAAATGATTTCTAATTAATAAAAACATTTACAAGTTGTATAGTTTAGATCTTCGAATAATTAATAAATTAAAAAAGTTGTACTTAAGAAAATTCTTTATATTGCATCCATTAACTAAAAACTACATAATTCTAAAGATTGCAGTTATGAGTTCTTAAGAGACGTTTGTCACTGGTATTATACAATTAATAATTTATTTTAACATAAATTAAACAAACTGGTTTCAACAATATTCATTTTAAAGAATGCAATTTATTCTACAAAGTGATTTGAATTATTGAAGAACATTTCAAAACTTTATCAAGGAAAAACTCAAATGATATTGAAATTAAGAAAGACTTAATTTTTACCATTGTACGAGTACGATATTAAAAACACATTATTAATTTACTAGGTTAAAAGATCAAAGTACTAAAATATTTTATAGCTATTATAAAGAAAGTCTAACCTTTTTGTCATCCTATTGAAGAGTAATTTATATTCGTGGTTAACGAATAAAATTTAAATATTGTTTATTTGATTTAGTTTTTATAACCAATTTTGCCAATTTCATTAAACTAATTTATATGGGAAATTATTTATGTATGAAATCATATAACTAACACTTAATAACAAACTATTTTTAAGGCAGACATAGAGATCAAACTCTAAACAAATATTTAACTAAAAACCGATCTTTTTGTGTGAAAAAACAAATTTACATTTTCGTATATGGCTAATTCATTGGACCATAAGAAAAAAACTTAAATAAATATATGTCACACATGATAATACAAATAAATCATCAAAAATAAAGTCCAAAATTAATATAATTTACAATATGAAAACAAAACAGCAACAAAAACGCAAACCTCTAATTGTATGTTAATAATTAATTTGACAAAAAAAAAAACAGAAATTTGTTTATAATAAATATTGAAAATATAAATGAAATGCGAACTACGACATGAAGAGGTTTAAATAAATTTTTTGTTGTTAATTTATTTGTTTAGACTACGCTTAACAACAAAATCAAATAAAAAACAACAATTCAAAATGTTGTGATTAAATTCCAATTTTCTAAAAGATGTTCGCAGAATTCTATTTTGGTTAAAAAACAGCTAAATTTGAAAAAACATACAAATCAGGGATGGAAAATTGAAATACTACAATAGTACTAACTTATTCCAAAAAGAGTATCTTTTTAGGTTTTAAAATACTAAACTAACTTTCAGATGGAATAGATACAGAGACTACAGAATAGATTATAGAATAGCCTATCGCCTAGATTACTAACTAGACTGTGGACTAGTCTAGACTATAGCCAAGACAATATACTATATTATAGATTAGACAGGATTATATACTACATAGAGTAGACTATAGACTATAGAGTAGACTATAGAGTAGACTATAGACTAGACTATAGACTAGATTATAGACTAGACTATAGACTAGACTATAGACTAGACTATAGACCAGACTATAGACTAGACTAGACTAGACTATAGACTAGACTATAGACTAGCTATAGACTAGACTATAGACTAGACTATAGACTAGACTATAGACTAGACTATAGACTAGACTATAGACTAGACTATAGACTACACTATAGACTAGACTATAGACTAGACTATAGACTAACTATAGACTAGACTATGACGAACTATAGACTAGACTATAGCCTAGACTATAGACTAGACATACTAGACTATACGAGACTATAGACTAGACTATAGACTAGACTATAGACTAGACTATAGACTAGACTATAGACTATACTATAGCTAGACTATAGACTAGACTATAGACTAGTAGCTCTAGACTATATACTAGACTATAACTAGACTACTAGACTATAGCTACTAGACTATAGACTAGACTATAGACTAGACTATAGACTAGACTATATACTAGACTATAGACTAGACTATAGACTAGACTCATAGACTAGACTATAGACTAGACTATAGACTAGACTATAGACTAGACTATAGACTAGACTATAGACTAGATAGATAGACTAGACTATAGACTAGACTATAGACTAGACTATAGACTAGACTATAGACTAGACTATAGACTAGACTATAGACTAGACTATAGACTAGACTATAGACTAGACTATAGACTAGACTAGACTAGACTATAGACTAGACTATAGACTAGACTATAGACTAGACTATAGACTAGACTATAGACTAGACTATAGACTAGACTATAGACTAGACTATAGACTAGACTATAGACTAGACTATAGACTAGACTATAGACTAGACTATAGACTAGACTATAGACTAGACTATAGACTAGACTATAGACTAGACTATAGACTAGACTATAGACTAGACTATAGACTAGACTATAGACTAGACTATAGACTAGACTATAGACTAGACTATAGACTAGACTATAGACTAGACTATAGACTAGACTATAGACTAGACTATAGACTAGACTATAGACTAGACTATAGACTAGACTATAGACTAGACTATAGACTAGACTATAGACTAGACTATAGACTAGACTATAGACTAGACTATAGACTAGACTATAGACTAGACTATAGACTAGACTATAGACTAGACTATAGACTAGACTATAGACTAGACTATAGACTAGACTATAGACTAGACTATAGACTAGACTATAGACTAGACTATAGACTAGACTATAGACTAGACTATAGACTAGACTATAGACTAGACTATAGACTAGACTATAGACTAGACTATAGACTAGACTATAGACTAGACTATAGACTAGACTATAGACTAGACTATAGACTAGACTATAGACTAGACTATAGACTAGACTATAGACTAGACTATAGACTAGACTATAGACTAGACTATAGACTAGACTATAGACTAGACTATAGACTAGACTATAGACTAGACTATAGACTAGACTATAGACTAGACTATAGACTAGACTATAGACTAGACTATAGACTAGACTATAGACTAGACTATACTAGACTAGACTAGACTAGACTATAGACTAGACTATAGACTAGACTATAGACTAGACTATAGACTAGACTATAGACTAGACTATAGACTAGACTATAGACTAGACTATAGACTAGACTATAGACTAGACTATAGACTAGACTAGACTACTAGACTATAGACTAGACTATAGACTAGACTATAGACTAGACTATAGACTAGACTATAGACTAGACTATAGACTAGACTATAGACTAGACTATAGACTAGACTATAGACTAGACTATAGACTAGACTATAGACTAGACTATAGACTAGACTATAGACTAGACTATAGACTAGACTATAGACTAGACTATAGACTAGACTATAGACTAGACTATAGACTAGACTATAGACTAGACTAGACTAGACTATAGACTAGACTAGACTATAGACTAGACTAGACTATAGACTAGACTATAGACTAGACTATAGACTAGACTATAGACTAGACTATAGACTAGACTATAGACTAGACTATAGACTAGACTATAGACTAGACTATAGACTAGACTATAGACTAAACTATAGACTAGACTATAGACTTGACTATAGACTAGACTATAGACTAAACTATAGACTAGACATAGACTACAGAAAAACTATACTATAGACTACAGAAAAACTATACTATAGACTACAATATTCACTAGACTATGGATTAGACTATAGACTAGACTATAGATTAGACTATAGACTAGATTATAGATTAGACTATAGACTAGATTATAGACTATAATATAGAGTAGAATATAGACTAGACTATAGTCTACACTTTAGATTAGTCTATTGACTACTATGTGGACTATTTAACAAAGTTTATAAGTTAGAAAAATTATCGAAAATGTCTAGAGGGTTCCGCGGTATTTTACAAAATCTAAAAGTACCGGAAAAAGTACTAAAGTACTATATTTTCCATGCCTGATGCAAAACATAAAAAATTACACGCCAAGCAAAAACTAAACATTAAATGACTGATGTTTCAAACCAAGTTAGTAAAAGCTGCTGAAGTTGTTCAGAGACAACTTTTGGAATCTATCACCAACACATAAACCACCATTACTAACACTACCACAGCAACAGCTGTGGCGCTGTATCTGTTTGGTTATTGCTTGCTAAAAATCAACGAAACATCGATCGTTGATCATTTTCAGTTATTTTTTTTATTTCTTTTTATTATTAGTTTTAATTTTAAAATTTAAATTTCAGTTTAATTTGAACTAACAATGAATACGGTTGTCTTTATAAAAATGGCACGATTAACGAGAGTTTTAAAATAATAAAAGTGAGATTTTGAAAAAAACAGTTAATTAAAACGAAATTTGAAACCAAGTGTTTTTAAAAATCAAACAAACTACAGACAACAAGAAAGAATAAATAAAATATAGAAAGAATAAATAATATATGAAATGAAATTAGAAAATACTTTATCAAATTGGCAGCATCCATGGATTTGGCTGGAAACAGTGTATAGTGTCATTTTTTACTAAACAAAAAAAATCTTAATTTCCCAAATAATAATTTTAATAAAAAACAATTGAAAAGATTAAATTAAATTGAAATTCTCAAGTTATAAAAATTTAACATTTACTTAAGTAGTAGCGGCATAGTAGAGCTTGCATCTGTTAATTTTCTTTTTTGTTTCTAATTAAAAAAATTTCTTGTTGAATTAACTCAACATTTGCAACACAAAAGTATTGTTATAACATACTAACTAAATATTCAAAAAAAATCTTGGCTAAAATTGCTTAAATTAGCAATTAATTAAGTGGAAAAAACTGTGTTTCAAATATCAAAAACAGAAGAAAAAAAAACAAAATTTGAAGTTCAAATAGAATTTGAAAAGTACGATTATTCAATCAATAAGAATGAGAAAAAGTTTAATTGTAACAAATAAATGTATTTATTATTATTATGGAACTGGTGGTGGTGTGTTGCTTAAAAATTTATATTTATAAATATTTTACATAATTTAATTTGTTTAAAAATAAAAATAATTAATTCAAGAAAATATAATAAAATGTAGATTTTGGTTTGTTTTGTAACCAGACTGTTAGACTGACTGATCAGACCCTGAGTTTTATAACTTAAACAAATAATTTTTCAATTTGAGTTCAATAAACTTAAACTTAAACAAAATGTTTGGAACTAGTTGGCCGTTTTTAGCTAAAGGTCAAATTTATGAAATATTTCGAAAGGTCATATTTAGAAGAAGTTGTTTCATTGAAGATATTTTTGAATAAAATTCAAAAATCTTTTAAGCTCAATTATTTAACTAACGTTTTAAGAAAATGTATGCTATTAGTTGACTAGATACTATGACAAAGGTCAAATGTTTAAAGATATTTCTAAAAGTGTGTTTTTAAGAACTTCTTAAATCTTGAACGGAAATTGTGAAAGTGTCCCAGTAGATAAGTTCTTTCACCAATCACACAACAAGTGTATTTTTTATGAAATTTGTCATCACTTTTTCTATTGTTTAGTTTAGACGACTTCAAACCGGCTTGAAATTTCGCTCAATATCTGATAGACCAGACATGGAAAATTCAGTACTTTGGTACTTTTTTTTTCAGTGCTTTTTAATATTGAAAAAACCGTTCTAACCCGTTCAAATTTTCTATACTTTTTCTAACCTTTTAACTTTTCATAAATCTTTTTATAAGTCGAGTCTACAGTCTAGCCTGTAGTCTACTCTATTGTATAAACTACAGTATAGTCTATAGTATAGCCTATTGTGTAATCTATAGTCTAGTTTAAGGTCTAGTCTATAGTCTGGTCTATAGACCAGTCTATAGTCGTGTCTAGTCTGTAGTCTAATCTATAGTATATCCTATAGTGTAGTCTATAGTCCAATCTATAGTCTAGTCTATAGTCTAGTTTATAGTCCAAGGTTTAGTCAAAGGTCTAGTATATAGTCTAGTCTATAGACCAGTCTATAGTCTTGTCAAGTCTGTAGTCTAGTCTAGTTTATAGTATAATCTATAAACTAGCCTATCGTATAGCATATAGTCTAGTCTATATTCTAGTCTATAGTCTAGTCTATAGTATAGTCTATAGTCTAGTCTATATTCTAGTCTATAGTCTAGTCTAGTCTATATTCTAGTCTATAGTCTAGTCTATATTCTAGTCTATATTCTAGTCTATATTCTAGTCTATATTCTAGTCAATAGTCTAGTCTATATTCTAGTCTATATTCTAGTCTATAGTCTAGTCTATAGTCTAGTCTATAGTCTAGTCTATAGTCTAGTCTATAGTCTAGTCTATAGTCTAGTCTATAGTCTAGTCTATAGTCTAGTTTATAGTCTAGTCTATAGTATAGTCTATAGTCTAGTCTATAGTCTAGTCTATAGTCTAGTCTATAGTCTAGTCTATACTCTAGTCTATAGTCTAGTCTTTAGTCTAGTCTATAGTCTAGTCTATAGTCTAGTCTATAGTCTAGTTATAGTCTAGTCTATAGTCTAGTCTATAGTCTAGTCTATAGTCTAGTCTAGTCTAGTCTATAGTCTAGTCTATAGTCTAGTCTATAGTCTAGTCTATAGTCTAGTCTATAGTCTAGTCTATAGTCTAGTCTATAGTCTAGTCTATAGTCTAGTCTATAGTCTAGTCTATAGTCTAGTCTATAGTCTAGTCTATAGTCTAGTCTATAGTCTAGTCTATAGTCTAGTCTATAGTCTAGTCTATAGTCTAGTCTATAGTCTAGTCTATAGTCTAGTCTATAGTCTAGTCTATAGTCTAGTCTATAGTCTAGTCTATAGTCTAGTCTATAGTCTAGTCTATAGTCTAGTCTATAGTCTAGTCTATAGTCTAGTCTATAGTCTAGTCTATAGTCTAGTCTAGTCTAGTCTATAGTCTAGTCTATAGTCTAGTCTATAGTCTAGTCTATAGTCTAGTCTATAGTCTAGTCTATAGTCTAGTCTATAGTCTAGTCTATAGTCTAGTCTATAGTCTAGTCTATAGTCTAGTCTATAGTCTAGTCTATAGTCTAGTCTATAGTCTAGTCTATAGTCTAGTCTATAGTCTAGTCTATAGTCTAGTCTATAGTCTAGTCTATAGTCTAGTCTATAGTCTAGTCTATAGTCTAGTCTATAGTCTAGTCTATAGTCTAGTCTATAGTCTAGTCTATAGTCTAGTCTATAGTCTAGTCTATAGTCTAGTCTATAGTCTAGTCTATAGTCTAGTCTATAGTCTAGTCTATAGTCTAGTCTATAGTCTAGTCTATAGTCTAGTCTATAGTCTAGTCTATAGTCTAGTCTATAGTCTAGTCTATAGTCTAGTCTAGTCTAGTCTATAGTCTAGTCTAATTTAGGATCACATTTAACTTATTATATTAGTATTAGTCTATAGTCTAATTTATAGTCTAGTCTATAGTCTCTGGGAGTTTGTCAACAGAATTGTTTGGAAATTTTCAGATTTAGCATTGTCCACGGCAAGATGATGAATACTTCCAATATGATAACTAGGAGCGGATCCTGGTCTAAAGAACTAAATTCATGTTGTGTTAAAATTAGAACACCACTACCAGTCTGAGCAAAGTATATATACTCAAGACAATTTCATTTAAACAACTTTATGGATTTAATAAAACGTGATTTTAAACACAATTCGCTCTATATTACGTAAAATAATAGTTTTTAACAAAAATTGTTTAAACCGACAAATAAAGCTAAATCTTTTAAATATTTTATAAAAGCTTAATATTGCACCTCAGCGCACTTGTTATTTAATTAATTGCTTAAAAACATATTTCTATAAAAATTATGTCAAGCTTTACTAAAACCTTAACTGTTTTGTCTCTTCCTCCAAAAAAACAGATTCAAATCAATACCGCCTAATCTTATGGTAAGATGGCGTAACAATACGGATGCTATGATAGAAGCTCAATATCCAACACCCGGAGAATTTGAATATATGGAATGTGGTCCATCGCCACCAGCTGAAAGTGCACCCAGTATGTATGATAGTTTCGAAGAGCCAACCAGTGAATTAAGTGTACAAATATGCAACGACACTTTGCGCATAAGTCTAATCGATCAAATGAAAAATGCCGCCGGTCGCATACGCTATTTTGAGGATATCGAACAGGGCAATGTGATTGGTGAAAATACAAAAACACACTTTGAATCCGCCTCGCAAATAGAGAAGAATTTATGTTTCCTATGGTCAGCATTTCTTAAGAGATGGGATCTCTTGCAGAGTCTATTGGATATAGGAGCTGAATTGAATTTTTGTGATCAAAATGGTATTACCGCTTTGCATTTGGGTGCGTTTAGTGGTTGCCTGTCAACGCTCACGTTTCTGGTGGGCAAGGGCATGAATGTTAATTTCCAGCCGAAATGTTATACTCCCCTACATTGTGCAGCATTTGGTAATTCGCCTGAGGCGGCGAAATATTTAATTAGTAATGGTGCCCAATTGACAATAGATACAAATAAGCCCAATTGTGAAGAAAGTCTATTGCATTGTGCGGTGAGAGCTAATGCTCTGGAGTGTTTGCAGTTGTTTATAGACGAGGGAGCAGATGTAAACTCCCTTAAGCCAAATGGCACTAATGCTATACACTTGGCAGCTGATTTGGGTAATGCTCAGTGTCTGGAGATTTTACTCAAGGCCAATGGAGCAGATCCTAATGTTAGAATATGCATACGTGAAAAAGAATCTACAGCTTTACATTTAGCAGCCGATGAGGGAAATGTAGAATGTGTAGATTTGTTATTGGCCAAAGGAGCCGATGCTAAACTAAAGAATCATAGAGGCTTTACCGCACTACATTTAGCAGCACGCACTTCTAGTCTAGAGTGTGTAGAATCTCTGCTGAGAAATGGTAATGCCGATGCCAATGCTGAAGACTTTGATCATAGAACTCCCTTACACGCGGCGGTGGGAAAATCTGAAAATGCTTTTGATATCTTAGAACTACTAATACAATGGGGAGCCAATGTTAATCATAAGGATATTTATGGTTTTACAGCCCTACATTTGGCCGCTTTGGATGGTCTGGCCCAGTGTGTGGAAATGTTAATTTACCATGGAGCTGATGTTACGACAAAGTCGAAAAAAGGCACTTCTGCTTTAAATGTTATTACACGCAAAACACCCGCTTCTGTAGCTATGATAAGACAAAAATTAGATGCCGCTATTACTTTACATCATTCTCAAGATCCCGTGAATCGTGAAGTGGAATTGGAGCTGGATTTTCGTCAACTCTTGCAGCATTGTCATCCTAGAGAAATTAGCTATTTGAATACTTTTGTGGATGAAGGACAAAAGGAAATCTTAGAGCATCCTTTATGTTCTTCATTCCTGTACATTAAGTGGGGCAAGATAAGAAAATACTATATAGGACGTTTAATATTCTGTTTCTTCTTCATACTCTTCCTAACCCTATACGTACTCACTGCCCTGGCCCACAATTGCTATAACGGCAGTAAAGATGACAACACCACCATACAAGCTCAGGAACTGTGTCAGAAACAATCTATTTTGGGTGACATGTTACGCAACAATCCCTTTGTCATGGAAATGCAATGGTGGGTTCTGGTGGCCATTACGGTAGTGGAAATCTTTCGAAAATTGTATGGCATAACGGGTTATTCGTCATTCAAACATTATGTCACGCAGGTGGAGAATATAATGGAATGGTTTGTCATCACGAGTGTATTTGTTATTTCGTATATTTATACCAAACAAACATATACCTTTCAAAATCACATAGGAGCCTTTGCCGTGCTGTTGGGCTGGACCAATCTCATGTTAATGATTGGTCAATTGCCGGTATTCGATGTTTATGTGGCAATGTACACTAGGGTGCAAGGAGAATTTGCCAAACTATTTATGGCCTATTCTTGTATGCTGATTGGTTTTACTATATCGTTTTGTGTGATATTTCCCTCCTCCTCATCATTTGCTAATCCATTTATGGGTTTTATATCCGTACTGGTAATGATGATAGGAGAGCAGGATTTATCACTACTCATCAATGATCCCGATGGCAAGGATCCACCATTTCTTTTGGAAGTTAGTGCTCAAATAACATTTGTGCTGTTCTTGCTATTCGTTACAATTATATTGATGAATTTGCTGGTGGGTATAGCGGTCCATGATATACAAGGCCTTAAAAAGACCGCTGGCCTTTCTAAACTGGTTAGGCAAACCAAATTGATTTCTTATATAGAATCGGCTTTATTTAATGGTTATTTACCCACCTGGCTGCGCAATTTGCTGCACTACACAGCTTTAGTATCGCCCCAAGCCTATCGCGTAGTATTGTGTGTAAAACCTTTAAATCCCAGCGAAAAACGTTTGCCGCGAGACATACTAATGAAAGCCTATGAAGTGGGTAAAATGCGCAAACATTTTGGTCACACCATATCGGCCAAATCATCTGATGCTACTTATCTTTCATATAAAAACAAATACAATAGCGAAAGCAATCAAACACCTACGACACCCTATGCGACAGAGGATTTCGAAGCCACCGTTTTGTCAAATATCAATACTAAAATCGATGATAATAGTGAACGTATTGAGTATTTAACACAAGAAATTCAAGAGCTGAAACAGGCTTTAATAACCCAACAACAACAGGCTAGCAAAGTTATAGATAAATTATTGATTGTCATATCGAATCAACAGAAAAATAATTTAAGAAAATAGTTTTTAAGAAAAATAAAAAACGAACAAAGAATTTTTTTAATTAAGTCTTTAGATTTTAAGTGACTTCCTTAAGCAAAAGTAAAAAAGTGTCCTTTTTAAAAAAATTTTATAAAACATTAATAGTTTGTATAAAAAACTGAGAAAATTTTGAAATTATATACACATTACGAGTAACTACTTTCCAAAAAAAATGTAATCTTAAAATATTTCCACAAACATTTTTTAGTAGAAATTTATAAGAATTTTATTTTTATGTTAAATTTATATAGAAGTTTTTAAGTTTGTATAATTTTATAAAAATTATTTTATTTATTTTTTAATTAAAATTATTTTCTGAAATTTTGTTTTAATATTTATTTAAATATATTTTAATTGTTTAATGAAACTAGAATTTAGTTAAAGTTATTTTCTATAACTTCATTTTGAAAGGAAAATGTATGTTACATCATTCACATGGACCATTAGCGGACCTTTGGAGAGCTACTTTATCAGAGTCTCTGATGGGAATCGTACACATGAACCCCGGACTGACAGACTAGAACTAACCCAACTGAGTCAATTGATTTTTATCATCTATTTATAGGATTCGAAAGAAATAAATCAGTTTCAAATTCTATTAATTACTTTTAAAACCCTTTCTTATAGCACCGAAATAAACGTAACAGATCTTTGGATGTTTTTAAAGATTAAGGTATTTCGTTTTAACTACCAAAATTTCGTGGAATAGGAATTCCCTCAAGTCAAATGGCTCTAACACCATCCTCTTGAAGCAACCTTTTTGAGTTAAAACCCAGTGTTTAAGAGATTTTTAAATGTATCTAAACCCAATATAAGCGAAAAGGAATACTCAGATTTTCATTTACCGGTTGATGAGGGAAATACTTGATAATGAATTTGAATACAAAGTGGAAAAAGTTCCCCTTAGGTTATATAAGAATAATCTTCATAACAGAAAAGGTTTTGCAGTTTCGTTTAGATTCCAATCGGATCTTTTAGCAATTAAAAGAATTTGTCTGAAATGTATTTTTACAGCTTTCAAATGTTTACTGTACATCGTTAACAATTGTTTCTTCGTTCCGAAACGAACAGTCATACTCGGTGCGCTGGGAAGGGAGGATGAAATCGACGCATTCACTAATATTTCCCTAACTGTAAGGCACTTGTTCCAACTATATGCAATGGCTCAGATCAGATGGTCTAGTGAAACCACCTGTCTGATGATGCCCCTAAGTCTAGCTTATTGTTAAGCTTTCGCAGACAGCAAATAAGAACGCTGCTATCGGTAATAACGGGTCATTGTAGTATTGTCAATCATGTCAGAAGAATGGACTTCCAGTACAATAACTACTGCAGAAGTTTTCACAATGAGGAGGAGGAGGAGACTTTAACTCCTCTCCTCTGTCCGACATTTAATGGGAACACAGAGCTCATTTTGGATCTGCAAGTAAGAACACAGCTATCGATAATAACGGGACATTGTGTTATTGGCAATCATGCCAGAAGAATGGGCCTCCAGTACAATGACTACTGCAGAAGTTTTCACAACGAGAAGAAGACTATAACTCCCCTCGTCTGTTACTGTCCGACATTTAATGAGAACAAAGAGATCTATTTTGAATCTGCTGTTCTCTCTTGTATGGAGGATATATCAGGGATAAATCTAAAGAATATGCTAAATTTCGTGAATCGAACCGGTTGGTTTAACTCTAATACATAGAAGTACTGAAAAAGAACTTCAGAAGCAATGATTTTTATCACAGGCTTGATGTATAGTTTCGAACCTTCACCATACTTATTCCAGGCACTAATTAGCAAGAGGAAAAATGATGCTCAAAGCGCTGGCTGACATCACTTGGGCAATGCATAAATGAACCTTGTTGGCACTGACGATTGGCCGGTCAGTGGTTAATTATGCTGATCCAGTGTGGTCTCCTTCACGTAGTGATACCTAGTGTAGAAACATTCAAAGCATACAAAATGTTTCTCTAAGGACTGTTTTGGGCTGCTTGCAAATTACCCAAGAACATCAACTACACGAGGATCCAAAGTCTATCCCAGTCAAGGAACACTTCATGTTAACAAAAAAACTTAACATCTCACAGTTGAATGACACCCTGAGGCATGTCAGAAGGGACCATCGAGTATACGAAGAAAACATACGTTATTGTGTGCCTAAGATCGATCCTCTTATACGGTTGCTTTGATCGACATTCATAGAGACTCCTTCAATACCGCGCTCACATGACACCGCATAACTGTCGTAGGTACTTGATGATCAACTACAGCCTATAGCAGACATTGAAGAAAATCTGCCGCGAACAACCAGAAAAGATCTGGCCCAACTGATATCGCGATTGAGCACATATTCAACAGCTATGACAATGGATTTAGGGACGCACAATTTTTAGACCCCCTTGATTAGATAAAATTTTAGCTTTTACAACAACATAGTTTTTTTACGTCGGAAGTAATTTTTATGCCAATTTTTAAGAAGACATTTCAGTTTCTTAATAAAAATTTAAAGAAAATGAACTTTTCCCTTTTGAAAATATTACTTTTAAAGTATCGATAATGCAGTGTATTTCCAAAATTAAAGCATGAAATTAAAGAAAATAATTTTTATAGCATTAGAACTAACATTTAGAGAAAAAACTCTATAACACACTAAAAATTTTACAAAAACCTTTAACTTTTTTTTAGAAATTACATTAGAAAGTACACATTTTTAGCATATTTTCCCAAATAATATTTGCAGTATTTAATATACAAAATTATAGCACTGAATCATAAAAATTTGATGATAAATTTATTTATTATAATTAATTTATAATAAAAATCTATATATATTTTTCTTTAAATCAATTATTTAAATTATTATTTTTATGATTAACTATAATTTCTATTATTTTTCTATAAATATTATTTTTTAAGGCTGTGTGTGTTTTTGCCGACAGAGTTTGCTAAACATTTTTTAATGTGTATTGTTTTTTTTTTTTTTTTTTTTGCTAGCAGTTAAGATTTTGATTAAGTTGAACAAAAAATCTATTCTTTGTTTTCTTTTGTTTTTTAATGTGTATAATTAAAATAAACAATTTATATTTTATCGTTATGTACATAAAGCTATAAATATTTGTTTTATTTGTTGACTTTTGAAAAGTACTGGTGAGTAGTCACAAGAGATAGATACAAGTACGAAAAGAAGTCAATCAAAAAATTGGTGAAAACAAATACATACATATGTATATAAGTAGAAATCAAGTTTATAATGTTATAATGGAAACTTTTTAGTCATCATAATATAAGAGAAAGTTAAGAATGGACTTATTTAATAAGGTTTTCGAAAATCTATCATACATTTTAAAAGAAAACTTTGAAAAGTTATGGAACAATTACAATATTCTAAAAATACAGGGAAAATTTTATAAACAATTTTACAAAAATAATTTTTGAACAGTTTTCCATTTAACGAAACAAGTTTGTCTCGCAGAATGCTTACAAGTTGTCCATTTACCGTAACAAGAGATCTCCCTAAAAGATAGTTTAGTTTGTCAAAGTTCCTTGTAATGACGATTAAAAAAAAAAAAAACATTTTAAAAGTAACACAAAGGACTTTTTTTAAGTTCTGTGGTACTCAGGCCGTTTTGAAAAAGCTTCACTAGGGTTCAGATTGACAGAGATAGATAGATGCTTAGTTTCTTAATATTTTACTTAAAACTGAAATCATTTCCTAAAAATAGCATAACAATTAGTTAAAGAGTAATAAATCCGAATCTAATCCGGGGATCTAAAAATTGTGCAATTTCAATGGGATGCTCCCCAATTTTCAAAAAGTGAAGAAGGGTTGGCTGATCAGTTACATATGTGGTAGATCTCATGAAGAACCCGGTCATAAGCTGGGCATGTCGTTCCCAACGCCCATTGTAATGCAGTTGTTAAACAGATATATCCTATACTAATGAGATAATAAACAATTTAATTAAACAATTCAAAAATACAAGTGAACCGTACTAATTAAGCATTGGATAGATCAGAAATTTACCTCGTCTTCAGTGTCTAGATTATTGAGTCAATCGACAAGAGAGTCGGCTCACTGGTCCCGTTATGATACCCTGAAACGGATCACGCTTCGACCCACCCATGGGACATTACGTGTCTACCTTCAGTGCGGAATCAAACCGACCTGATGCACAAACAAAAGATATTATCCTATTCATATCCAACCTGGATAGGTCCACTGTATCGTGGAACAACCTTAAGTAGGCCCTAACAACCTTAGGTAGGCCCTAAGGTTGCAGTTCTAATAGCCGAGAGGGAGAGACAATCTCAAAGGAAATGTTCAATAATCTCCTTCTCATCCTCATCATAACAACATCTACGGAAGCCCCAACAAACTGTGAGACCTTCAACCATCATATCATCATACGAAGATCCTGCTGAATTATAGATTTACAGCAGGAAAGTGGAACATCAACAATTGTGTCAGCATCGTTGATATGTAGGCGAGTACCAGCCTTCGCTACTGCATTCGCAACATTATTCCCTGGAACATTCGCATGTCCCGGTACCCAGAGAAGTTCTAATGGTTCGCCATCTCGTTAAGAGACCCCCGACATTCGGGAACCAGTCTGGAAGTCCTATAGATTCTAGTTACGAATTTTATTGCATGCTTACTGACATTGAATAATCTATAGTACTTCATCCAGTTTGCCGCTCTTTTTATGGCTGAGATTTCAGCTGCATTGTTAGTGCAGCTTAAAGATCACCCTTTTATTAATGTGGAAGCCGCCTCCCACACACCTTGCTGACTTCGATCCGTCCGTGTAGACATCAATCGATCTATCTACTTAATAAAGAAGGGTAGGAGAGCAGTAGTCATTGTTAGCAATTGTCTAATAAGGTATAGCTTTTAGAGCTAGACAATTGCAAAGATGAGTTATTTTTTGTTTTTCTTCATCATCAAGATCAACTGACAACTTTTGCAGAAGTTATTGTATGAATGATCCAAAGTTGCAGTAATCTAGAATTTGGTGAAACCTAGAAGTTAAACTGTTTTGTATCCATCAATACAAGCCAACAATGATCTAGTGATCGAGCATGGATACCATCGGTTCTAAGCATTAATAAAGCATATTTCAGAAATATGTTTTTTAATGGCTGAGAGAAAAATACCACAGAATTAGTCAATTTCTGTTTCTGCCACCATGGTTTCAGCTCTAATCAATAATTCAGCAATATTATTGCCTCGGTGATATTTGATTGGATTCAGAACCTTTTCAAGAGGTTATCTGTTTGAAGACGATTACTACATACAACATTATTGGTTTGATTACAACCTCAAATAACCATTTCATGTTACTTAGGCCCAGTGTGCACATTTACAGAAACAGGTTCATAATATCGAAGTATGTTTCGGAACTTAAATAACATGTGGTTCGAACAGAATGAAACAACATGCCATGAAGCATACATCACATACTCGATCATCCGATTTAAAACCCTTTAGACTTCTTCTTTGTTCTTATATTAAATCGCTGGTCTAAGCCATCAAACCGTCAACATTATAGGAGCTAAAATACCACATAGAAAGTTTCGTCCGATTTGTGTGCTTGAATCATGGAAAATGGGGTTCTGCGTAGTTATTTATGCCAGCACTTCTGCAGAGAGCTTTTACAAGGGAGAAGACATAACTTAGGACACTTTTTTTTCGTCACTCGACAATGTTTTTTCCAATGGCCTTTTCGACATCGAATGGTAGCTTGACGAAAACAGGGGGAAACAGGTTTAACGGCGGCTTTGATTTGGGGGTTGGAAAAGCAAACAGATCTTCAAGCTGCTGAATTCAAAACGAATTTTGGTCATTTAAGTGCTGGAATCCTATGGATTCAAACCAACTACTCTACGAATTAGACTGCCAGAATAATAGAAGAAGCGATTCAGTTGGAAGGGTAGTTCTTAGTGTCGCACTCGCCCTACAAACCGTCTGCCATGGGGGAGTCAACATGGGTTATTGGATTCATCGCACTTAAGTATTCACATGTTTTAGGCTTAGGTAAGAATCAATCATAGGAGTTCATTTAAGTATTACTCTCTACTTCCAGATTTAAAACAGCTCGTTTGATTCACAAAGTTTAGGATATTTTTAAGGCATATCCCAGATAGCTCATACAAATTTTTCATTATATGATGGGCATGTTTTCGTATGGAAACATTATCATATATCCAGTTTAAACATTGGAAGTAAACTGACAAAATATGGATCAATTGTAGGGATAATTCGGAGAAAGTTTAAGGCATCACTAAGTCTATAAGGTTAATTGGATATCAGTCGTATTTTAATCAGAACTACTGGTATATTTTCTGGCAAAAATAATTTCTTTGACTTTTGTAAAAAATTTTGGGTTTTCAATATTTTGCATAAATTGCATTTAAACGTTATTTTTAATATTTTACCGATCAGTAGTTTTTTAATTTCCGTTTCGAATGATTATTAAATAAGAACTTGCACTTCGACTTACCTGTTCACGTGGTTGTATATCATCAAAATATGTAATATCTTTGCCATTTATAGAAATTTTTCCAGTACCAGGCACGCGAACAGTTACATCAGCACGTGCTGTTTTACGTAGACATTCTGAAAATCATAAAAAATAATTTTAACATTATTCTAAATATGTACCTTAATGCTTTCTCAATACTTACCATAGGTGGTAATATATTGACGACCCTGTTCATCGATTTGTGGTTTTGGTATTTCCAATTGACTCGATTTGTCCATTAAAGGTTTTGTGTATTTATCAATAAATTCTTTACATTTGTACGAATAAGGATGCGATACAAGACGTTCCATGGCGGTAATGAAACTATTGAATTCAATATCTGAGATTTTTTCAACCAAATCTAATTCCATTTGTTCTTTGGTGACCCAATTGAAACCAGTTAAATCGCTGTGGATGTAAAGCGAAAAACGAGATTAAATATTTGTAAAACAAAAAAATTAAATAGAATTAGGAATTCAATTTCGTTTTCTGTATGGCCACTACAGATGTATATTATAATTTCCCAACTTTCTTTTAAAAAACTATGTAATTAGTTTGTTACTTACACTTTCTGATTGGGATCAGGCTTTTGTCCACGACGCATCATGCGTTCTTCCAAATCATACAATTTATTGAGTTCTTCAACAATATCCTTCAATAAATAAAACATTAGATTCGTTTTCCAAAATAAAATCGCATACTAAGTAGAACACTTACATATAATAATCTAAAGAAATTTGGATTGCCAGTGTAAAACATACTATGGAATGGTCTACCGGTCTCATCGAATTCAGCAGCTTTACGTGCTGGAAATACTTCTTCGGGACTTTTCATAATGGGGCGGGCTTTTTTATCGTAAATGCCCGAGGGGAACAAATACTCAATGGCATTCTATGAAAAAAGCAAAATCACAATTTATTGTCAACTATTTATAAATTTAATAGAGAAAACTTACATCAATATCCTCTTGTGTAAAAGTCTCTGGATCTGCACCCATCATATTGGCCAAATGGCGTTTACCAATTTGAAATTCCAATTGTTGAGTTTTCATGAATTCATCATGTTCCTGGGCACGTTCCAAATAAGCTTTCATAGCTTTACTTACTTTTTGTTTTTTGACCACTAAAGGGGCAGCTTGAACCGTTACCTCAGTACTGTAATTGGCATTTTGTTGCTGGAGCACCTGAACAAAACACACAATTAAAGAAGAGAGGTTATGCAAGTCTTCCATTTGAAAATTGTCTATGAAACTTATGGAATTTATGTGTTATTTAAGACTTACTGTATTGGTTAAGGCGGCATTATTGAAACGCTGTAGGTTTTGTGTTAAATTTTTATTGTTTTTTAAAAAATTTAAACCAAAAACACGCAGAGCCATTTTTGCGATTGGATACTTTATGTCTGCAGCTGTTTTCCCCAAAAAAAAAAGAGACCGAATGACAATCAGCTGGGAATAATGTTAATTTGGTGATTTTTTTAAAACTAGCGATATTTAAAGCTCTATAAATTACAATAATTTGTGTCAAACGGCAACTAATAGTTTGACTTAAATGTATGTGTTTATATATGAATATACTCAATCAATACGTCAAACTTGTACTTTGTAAACAAAAGTTAAGAAATATTCATCTTAAAAGTACGAAATAGAAGAGAATCAAAAATAGTCTTTCTTTTTTTTTTTCGTTGATAGTGAATTTTGTATGGTTAAACACAAATTTTAATTTGCTATATAAATATAAAAAATATATTTATTATACATAGCCGGCTTACAGCTAATTTTAACGCCGTCACAAAAATTTTTAGTGGCAGTTACCGCCAATATTATGTTTTGTCGACACAGATCTCTGACTTTAATTAACAGGAAACTAATAAACTGTACATAAACAAATTGGCAAAAACAGCACCGAGAAGAGAGTAGTAAAAACTAACTAAATTAAATAATTAAGTTTACAGTTTAAAAAATGTTACCGGAAACAGTAACATTCGCTTTAACACTAATTGTTTATGGAGCCATATTATTTTTATTGATTTACTATGTAAGTTTAACCAGATAAAAGACAAAATAGATTTTTGCCAATATTTTAACAAATCGAAATTTATTTATTTAGGTGCTTACTTTGGCCGATTTAGAGTGTGATTATTTAAATGCTCAAGAATGCTGCAGCCGTTTAAATTTTTGGGTCATACCCAAATTTGGTTCACATTTAATATTATGCATTTTACTGCTATTGGGTGGCCATTGGCTAATGTTGTTCTTTAATTTGCCCATGGTCAGCTGGTTGGGTTATGAGTTATATAAACAACCCCGGGATAGTCTGGGTGTCTATGACCCGGTCGATATACATAGCAGGGGTTTGCTAAAGATTCATCTTAGGAATACCATGATTTATTTGGCCTATTATTTCATTATGTTCTTCATAGCCTTGTATTTGTAAGTAATTTAGTTTTTTGTTGTAATATTTTTTGTAAATTTAACATTTATTCTTGTTTTAGCATGATTTCTGCTCTACTCAAAGGTGATCCCATTAGGCGTCATGAGGAAGGAGAGATTATAACAGACTTTTAATAATAATAACAATAAGAAAACTAAATTAAGTAACAATTGTATACTTCTGTTTATAAATAATGTTGTGTGATACTTGATTTAGTAGTCTTCCTTCTTTTCCCATTGATTATGAAGCACAACAAATATGTCGGTAATCTCTAGTCTGGTATATACCTACTTGTTTAATTAGTCGATTTTTTTCTTTATATGATTAGTAACTTTCTACACCTATTTATGATTTTTTGAATCTCATTGCATTTTATTTGTTCGACATTTTTATAGTTTTAATTTAAAATTAATTAAATAAAACGATTTTATTAATTAATTGTATTTGTCTTTGTGTTTTAAACTTTTCTTTAAAATATGATTTTTGTAAGAGCTTTATCAGTGTACGAGTTTTCATGTAAAAAAGCTTTTTCTTTAAACAACTTTTGTGTGTTTAGAAATTTGGAAAAGAAACATTTTTGGAAAGTAAAATTTCAAATTCGAGGAAAATAGATTATTGTGCAGTCAACGATCCAAAGGAACACAAATTTTATCAACCTTCAGAATCTCTACCTATTAAATGATAAGCACAGGTTTCAACTATAACCAGAGGTTAAGAAACAAGATCTTAAACGTTTTAACTAATTCCACCTTTATTTTTCTTTATAAAAACACTTATTGACAACCCAATTTTACTTTGGTTTTACACATTCCCCTTTATGTTTTATTTTTTTATATATTTTTCACTTTTTTATATAATTATTTAAATTAACTCTATACAAACTTTATTAAATATTATTAATGACTGCTGTGTTTTGACCTTCTTTTGTTTGAAAAAGAAATAATTCAAACTTTATTTAAGAAACTAAAAAACTGCTAAACGGAAATGCATTTGAAAAAAATATTAATCAAGAATTTAATTTAAACAAAAATAAAGAAAAACTTTACAAAAATTAAAGTTTTTTTCTGTGTGACAAAAAACAATTAATTTAAAACGCACAATTAACAATTGTATGTAAAGAAAAAAGAAGATAAAACAAACATGAAATAGAAATTAAAAAGAAAACAAAAATAATTATAATTTTCCTATATAACTTTCAATATATATATATAAAATCTGAATTAATTTAATATTTTAATGCTGCTACAAAGTTGTTTGTTACTTTGTTTGTTTTCTTTTTTTTTTCAATTACATTTATTTAAATTTAAAATATTAATAAACTATTTCCATGCTTGTTTAATGGATTTGCGCGATGCTAAATGTTTGGCCACCAAAGAACCAGAAGTTAAAACTACCAAAACAATGGAAATTAAGATATAATCAAAATCTTCCTTAAGCAAATCAAACGTTTTTGAAGGTGCAATGCGTGTAACAAATAAATCTGTAAATGAAAATAAATTATTTAAAACTTTTTGTAAAAATACAATAACACATTAAAACAATTTACCTAAACCTGCCGCCACCACTAAGCAGGAACTCTCCAAACCACTAGGAGCTGTATAGATATAACGTAATCTAGCTATAGTTTGATTATAATTAATCATATTCTCTGTGGGCAGCGGTAATTCTGGAATGTAGGGCATAGCTCCCTCTTCACGACCATTCGATGAAGATGAAATGGGTCTTCGTGGATCTAGTAAAGCCCAAGGCAACTCTACGATGGAACCACTGGTAGTACCAACTGAAATTTTTTAGATTTTGTTGTTAAACTAAAAGTTTAAATTGAAAATGAAAACTTATTTGATGGAGCACTTACTCAAAACATCTTTACTGGTAATGCCTCTTTCGGTAATAGTTTCACGCATAGCTGCCACACTTGTGGGTATAATATAGGATTGACGTTCTACTAGGGGCATAGGTGGTGCGTTAAGAGAACTCCAAACGGTGCTATTAGCTTGAGTTTTACCTTCATATAGTTCAATAGTTGCTGTAATAAAAACAATGAAATATTTGTTTATTTGAAAAAGTTCAACGAACAATTCTATAAAGAAAATAGAGAGACATTTTCTATATAAAATGTCTCTAAAATAGAGAAAAATTTTCTATAAAAAAATAGAGAAAATTTTTCTATAGAAACTGACCTAGAACTGAACTAGAACTGAACTAGAACTGAACTTGAACTTGAACTGAACTAGAACTGAACTAGAACTGAACTAGAACTGAACTAAAACTGAACTAAAACTGAACTAGAACTGAACTAGAACTGAACTAGAACTGAACTAGAACTGAACTAGAACTGAACTAGAACTGAACTAGAACTGAACTAGAACTGAATTAGAACTGAACTAGAACTGAACTAGAACTGAACTAGAACTGAACTAGAACTGAACTAGAAGTGAACTAGAACTGAACCAGAACTGAACTAGAACTGAACTAGAACTGAACTGAACTAACACTGAACTAGAACTGAACTAGAACTGAACTAGAACTGAACTAGAACTGAACTAAAACTGAACTAAAACTGAACTAGAACTGAACTAGAACTGAACTAGAACTGAACTAGAACTGAACTAGAACTAAACTAGAACTGAACTAGAACTGAACTAGAACTGAACTAGAACTGAACTAGAACTGAACTAGAACTGAACTAGAACTGAACTAGAACTGAACTAAAACTGAACTAGAACTGAACTAGAACTGAACTAGAACTGAACTAGAACTGAACTAGAACTGAACTAGAACTGAACTAGAACTGAACTAGAACTGAACTAGAACTGAACTAGAACTGAACCAGAACTGAACTAGAACTGAACTAGAACTGAACTAGAACTGAACTAACACTGAACTAGAACTGAACTAAAACTGAACTAACACTGAACTAGAACTGAACTAGAAATTAAATAGAACTGAACTAGAATTGCATTAGACTGAGAGAAATTTTCTTTAAAACATTTCACTATAATAAAGAAATGTTCTTTAGACAATATCCCTAACATTTACACTAAAAAAATCTTTCTAAAATATACTTAATTTCTTGTTAACCATTTTATATTAAGAGATTTTTGTATTGAAATATTTTTTAAATAAAAAGAGGCAAGAAAGCTCTTCTAAGACAATTTACTTACTTATTTCAGTGCGTCTAACTTTGTCATTATAGTGAGCATAAGCCAACCAATTTTCAGAATGAACCACATGTAGAGGAGGACGAATTTTACGATGCATCATAGAGAAAACAACAGAACCGGAGACAACATCGATTAAGTAAACATTAAGCAAATCTAGAAAATAAGAGATAACAGCAATCATATGAGTAAAGAGTTAGTTCCCTTTAATGAAAATTTCCTTAAAAAACTTACGTTTATGTATACTATCAGTAGCCTGAGTGAAAACGGCCACCAAATTGGGATTAATATATTTATATAAAACAGAACGATCGGGCATAACGCGACCTTGGGAATGTACACGTTCGATGGGATTTTTAGATGCCACAGTAATGATTTTATGATCACCAGAATGACCGGCTAAGTCAACATTCCACAAAGGCAGGGTAGATAAATGCTAAATTAAAAAAGAATATATGAAATAATTTATACACAAAATAATTTCCAAAAAATACTTACATTATTAGCAAATTTAACATAGAAACCGTTTAATTGGGAATTCGATTTGTCAGCAGTATACAAATATAAACCATCAGCCTATAAAAACATTAAATAAATTTAATTTATTATCCACGAAATGTGTCTTTACTGCAAGCTTACCTTGGATTTAGCATGTTCTGGATAAACATTAACCTTATTATTAGCATCCATTATTAAAATACCCTTAACAAAATCTGTTTCTGTTTCGGCCAACAAAGAAAGTTGTTTAATTTTATGATCCAATTTCAAAAGACCACCTTCAGCTGGGGCACCAGTAATGGGATTAAAACGGTATAGAACACCATTACCCGTCATCTTATCTCTGGCCACAATGGTGCATAAAGCTTGTAATGGAAAATGTTTACTAGTTCTTTGGATGAGTAAACGCATCTGTTCGCCATTGGCAAATTCTTCAACATTATTCAAATACAATTGCCAATGATGTCTACCGCTAATGTTATCAATACCAAAGACTTTGCCGCTTTTAGTTAAAATCACCAACATTTTGTGTAGGCCAAAGGAATCGCGTACCAAACCGGCTTTTTGAGTATCAGAGGGTTTAGGACCCAAACCCATAACATGTAGAAAGACACTCTTGAAGTGTAACATTTGAGAGGTTAAACGGTGCATGAAAGCGCTTATTATGTCGGCTGTTATGTTTGTTAGGAGAGATTTAATTGCAAAATTATTTAGTGTATTATGTAGTAAAATAAAAAATAAATACAAAAACCAAAATTTATTCACAACAACAACAAATATACAAAGACAAAAAACGAAAGAAACAAAATATAATGAACGAAAGAAAGTTTTATTTTAATGCTAAAAGAAATTAAAAAAGCTTGTTATGGAAAGCTTGCTGTGGAAAGCTTGCTCTATGGAATGGTTTGGAAGGGTAATAATCTAACAATAATTTATTAAATATAATACATATTTTTGTTTAATGCTTTTATTTAAAGCTTTTTCCATTAAAGTACTTTTTAACATAATAAGAGTTTCTTTTCACTCAAATTGCTTTTTGAGAAAAGTTTTTTACTAAATAGCTTATTCCGCAATAAAGTTTTTTTCACCAAAAAGCTATCTCTCTAAAAAAGCATTTTCAGTAAAAATGGTATAAATAAAAGCTTTTTCCATTTAAAATGCTTTTATATCATTGTAAAAAAGCTTTTTTATATAATAAAAAACTTGTTCACAAAATGCTAAAAAGCTTTCTTTTCACGAAAACGCTTTTTTCCCTTTATAAAGCTTTTTTTTCGTTAAAAAGTAATTTTTACTAAAAAAATTTAAAAAAAAGAAATAAAATAAAAATACATCGAGCAAAAAAAAAACTAAAAGAAATCAAGCTTAACATTCGACAAAAAATTAAAACTCTTTACTTACTCTCCAGACTAGGATCGACACCTTTATTATTTGTTTTAAACGGAACAGAACACATTATTGTCATTTGAACGCATACATTTTATCAAAAAAAGTAAAATTTAAATAAGCCAAAGATATGTAGTTAATTAATAATTTAGTGAAAACCGTATAGTACACACAAAATACATCGAATTTGAACCCATCACACTTCGTTTTATATTAATAAAGTATAAAGAGCCCCTATAATTTAAAAGTACTCACCAGTTTTGCCCTTCATTTCATTTTCTAATTCACCCTCACTATCGGCCAAAGGTAAATCGATAAATTCACTAGCTATAACGTTAGCCAAGGCTTCAGATCTAGTCCAACGGAATTTCGATTGTTGCACAGCCAAGACACTATCGTCTGTGGTATCAAATATGAAAAGACAACCTTTGCCATCGTTGTTACGATTGGCTTTACAATCAAATGTTCTTAAAGTGGGTGGTCCATAATGTTCGGGATAGGCAACAGAATTGGATAATTCTGTGACAGGCTGGCAAGTTTCAGCCAAATAACCTTCAATATAGAGATTCTAGGAGAACGAAAAACAAAAGTGTTTAAAAGTAAAAAAAAATTAGAAATACTTGTTAAATAATCTTCATACTTTGTCTTTAACTTCAGCGGTAACAATAACGTTCTGGTTTTTAAAACGTCCCATTGAAAAGCTTTGGCTGTTTAGATTGCTGCAAGTTTGAATATCATCCTTAATGGCTACAAGTTTTCCATCGACACCAATGATGCCATTAAGACCCTGTCAAGGAATATTTTTGTTATTTTACCACATATTTTAGTGTTTAAAGTTTAACTTACCTCCAATGCCTTTATAGGTTGTGTTGGTATACTGCCTAAAGATTTCTTAATAACTTGAGGCAGATTGGCAGTTAAATCTAAAGAGATCAATTCTGCTCCTTCTAGACAACTGAAGTAAACACCAGTTAAAATACATTTTTCTTGTGAAATCCAGGGAGCTGTAATTTTGGCGGTATTGCCGGTAGCTTGACCAGAAGTAGCAAAATATTGTGTTACTTCTAGATGACTGTGCCAAACTGGTAAAACATGATGGAGCAGGGAATTACGATAAAACCACATAGAATTGATGGCTTTTTCAGACTGCAGAGGCATTAAAGACCACTCCCATTCCAAATGGCCCGTATTAGAATTCCAACCACGAACTAAAGCAGGGGCATGACCCTGCACAGTTAACATATCGAAACCATGACTAGAACCGGCTCTAGCAGCAGCAGTAGAATCAGCTGTAGCAGAGGCCGAAGAAAGTTGCAATAATTTAACACTACCTCTGGCTCCATTTTCAAAAACTTGACGCCACAAAATTTCTCCCGTTTTAGGGCATAATGAGGCCACTACATTTTCCCGGGTACTGACCACCAGACGGGGTTGAAAACCATTTAACTCTAAAAATGCCTGATTAACACCACCGATTTGTAAAGTTCTCCTTCAAAATGGACAAATTGTAAATATTTTCGTTAGATTTATAAAAAACTTACGTGTCTGCGAAAAAAGAACACCTTTGCTCTACTTACCAATCAAATTTTTTTATTTGATCTTCGTAAAGGGAATTTACAGAACCTATTGCTACCAGCATAAAAACAGCCAACAGCTGCAAAGCGCTGTTTCTTAGAATGTGCATTTTGTGTATTAGTCTATTAAACTAACTTTTAAATATACTTTAAAACTATTTACTTTAATTTTTAGAATTTATTTTAATTAATAATTAAAAATTCTTCATTTCCAAACGTGAAAAAAAATCGGGGATGAGATGAAGAAAAAAAAGTAATGTGCGGCTGTCAAATTTGTTTTAATGTTACCATATCATTCATACTAATTCAATTAACTACCCAAAAATCTGGTAGTTTAAAAATAATACACTGAAAATTATTTGTTTTTTGTTGTGCACGGCAGGATATAATCTTTAAAATAATGCTATAATAAGAAAAGGACTACGGATTATTTGCAGATACCATGAAAAGATTATAATTTTTATTTCTTTTAAGAAAATATTTTTTTTTATTTGTTTGTTTCAGAATACATTTCTCGCAGTGCAAAGTGTAATGTCAAAAACATCAAAATTCTCTCTAGAAATTTTAACACTTTACAACACTAGTACTGAAATCAAAATAAACAAACAAAAAACAATTTTCTAGAAGTAGATTTGTGAAAAGTTTAGAAAAATTTTCTGAAAATCTTATAGTTTCTCATAAGAAATCATTCAAAATGATTGAAAAGAAAACAGATAAAAATAAGCAGGAACAAAAACCACGCGACGATGGTGTTGAACTTGAAAATCAATTTATTTTGAGAATGCCCGAGGAGCCAGCCAAAGTTTTAAGGGAGGCAATCCAACAGCCCAACTCTAATCTAAAAGATCGCATGACCATACAACTGGATAATGATTTACGTTATGGAGAAGTAAGATTTGATCATTGGCTACTACATGCCAAAATTGTAGATTTACCCACCGTCATCGAGTGTCTCAAAACGATAGACAATAAAAGTTTTTACAAATCGGCCGATATCTGTCAAATGGTAAGTTTTTTTTAGCTTGCAAGCAGTATAGTAGTTTAAGGATGTTATGGATAGGGTCTAATGTTTGTAACGAATAATTTGTTGTCAATTAAGTCATGTACATTCACTGCCTGTTCTTCATTCGTCATGCGAAACTTGAATGAAGTTTAAGGTCGCCACATACAAAAAGAAATAATTCGAAAATCTGTTCTCATAAAGTGTCCCCTTCCTTCAGCTTTCTATAGCTTATAAATATTGTAATACTTTCGTTATTCTGATAAAATCCTAACTTGTATAGAATTTTTGTAATAATCACTTTCTATAAGAATCGGTTCATTATAGCACCAAGCCCACATGTATTTGCTACATACAATTAAAAATTCAAAATATTTTAAACATTATTCTAGATGATTTGCAAAGAAGAGCCTTTAGATTTGGATAAAGAAGAATCACCAAATAAGGGCAAAAAGAAAGATCCCAATAAGGTCGATAAGAAATTTTTGTGGGCTCATGGCATAACGCCGCCCTGTAAAAATGTACGCAAAAGACGTTTTCGTAAGACATTAAAAAAGAAAAATGTCGAAGCGCCTGAAATTGAAAAAGAAGTTAAACGTTTATTGCGCGTAGACAATGATGCTGTTAAAGTGGAATTTGAAATTATCAATGAAGACATAACAAAATCATTATCCGATTCCCAAATGAAAGAAGAACGTGAAGGTGAAGATGACTACAATGATGAACAACTTAATATGGGTGATAAGACTATTAATGATGCCTCTTCGCAAAAAGACATTAATGTTGAATCGGATGGTGATGAAGATGATGGACCGTCGGGTTCGGCACCCATGGGTGGTGTGGGAGAACATGATATTTTCGGTGAGGAAGTTTCCTCTTCAGACGACGATGATGATGTCAAACATCATAATACTTCGCATTTACGAGATTTGGACGAAACTTCACGTCTATCAGCAGACGATTCGCGCATGTCTGATTTCTCTATGGGTCACAATAATACCACTTTGGGAGGCAATATGGGTCTTAATACTTCTAAGGAAGATATAAATGATTATAGTAAAGTTTTATTTGGTAGTCCCAAGGCCGGTGATGATGATCATTCTAAATATGGTGGTTCTAATTCAAATTTGGCCGCTCCTGGCTATTTTGAAGAACGTAAACGTACTTTATCTGATGATGACTCCTCAAATGATGCTGCACCCCAAATGCGTGTCGAACAAATACATGGCAGAATATCGGAATTACGACGTCAGTTGGAAGAAATTAAAGCACAACATTCACAAAAGGCTAAGGAAATTACGTCCATACAAAATCCTACATTACGCCAACGTATGCAAGAAACCGTAGACAATTTGGCCAGTCAAATGGTAGAAAAGGAATTGGAATTAAAAGATTATGAAAATATGCTATAGTAGTTTTGGTTTAATATTATTTTAATAATGAAAATAAAATTTGCTAATAATTATAAATAAACAAAAAGTGTTTGTTTGATGATTTTGTGGGAAAATAGTACAAACTTAATCTTATTAGAATACTCATTAGCAAATTGGCAATGTATACTCATTTCACTATTTTTAATTCTGTAGAGCCCGGTCCATAATTAATGCAAGATTCAATTTTATTTCTAAGTCCATATATAGGACTCTCTTCCAAAACTAACTTTACAACATTTGCTTTCATGGTGTTTATACCACGGATGCGGTATAACCAGGAATACGATATATAACGTTATAAAACCCTCACTTTCTACTTTCTGAATTTCTTGAGAAATTTAAAGTATAACTCAAAAATTTAAAGGTAGAAGAAAAATGGTATCACTTATTTAGGATCGTTTTTGAATCACCAAATTTGCATTGTGTTGACGATTCAAGAAAAAGTCGCAAAAATAAATAAATAATCTCCAATTACACGCTAATGTTAAAGTTATACATAATTCTCCCAAGTCGAAGTATTTCGTCACTATCTCTGCTGGAATACTTTATAAACAAAATCTTATATTTCTTTCTTTAAAAAAATAATATGTATAGATTAAAGGCATATTTGTATAAGAGTATTTTGGCAAATGAACAAAATCATGATAACCTATACAAGGAAGCTAAAAAACAAAAATCAAATTTTAACAAAACTGTAATCTAAAGAATATGCTTAGACAAATTTTGTTGTTAAACCCTTCACCATGGTGATAAGGTTATTAATAATATGCTTAAACGGTTTGTTAATTATTCAATAATTAACTCTGTTTTTAATACATACATAAATACAATTTAAACGAAATTAATTAGACCAAAAATCCATATTAGAACTTGAGTATATAAAAACTTCTAACAAAATTTATATTTCAAAGAATTTTTCATATTCGAATTGAAATCTAAAATTAATAAAACTCAAATTTTACGTTTTTTTGGTGTCTTTATTTTAACATTTTCAGTAAACATTAAAAATTATACATTTTTTTAAATTTTATTTAAACATATTTTATGTATATCAAGAATTCGAATTCAAAATGCAAAATAATTATTAAATAAATTGTTAGTATGTTTATATTAAGTTTAAACAAATAAAATATAGTAAATTAAATGCCTTTTGATTTTTTATTTTAAATTTATTATTTTCTCTTAAACTTAAAAACTAATAAAGAGAAAAAATGTACATGGTATAATTAAATATAAACTTGTTTTGTTTAACTTTAATTAAGTAACGGCCCTACTTATTTGTAATAAGAAGTTTTGTTAATTTATGCAAAAATTAGATGTTTTTATTAAAAAAAAAAGTTAAAAAGTTTTATTATAATACGGGGTATGAGTTATGTTTTTGTTTGATATGTAAATATTTCTTGAGGTTTTTCTTTTTTATAAACATTACAAAAAAAGGTGTAAATTATTAACAGACACAACAGTTTAGATAAAGAGAAATAAGTTAAAAACTTTTAAGCACTTAGCTTAAAAAGCTTTAAAACTTTTTATTTAATAAAAAGTTTTAAATCCAAATATATGTATTTTTTCTAATTTTTAAGGCAGTTTAGTTATTTTTGTATGTAATTGAGGTATATTATACATTATTTTTAGTAAGAATTTTTAAAGTTAAATGCAATTTTTAAAATTAAAAAAAGGATTGTAAAGCAATTATTTAAAATTATTTGAAAATGCAGGCAAGCAAGTGGTAAAGAGAACATATCCCTACCATTAGCCTTAAGGAAGTCCCTTATACCCAAACTATTTTTAAAAGACAATGAATGAATATTGAAATGCAATCCTTTTGTTGGTTTCCTTTTGTTTTTACCAACTCAATTCGTCGGGCAAACCTCCGGGATATTCGCCTGTCAAACAAGCAGTACAATGACCACTCTTGCTGGGATTCATAGCTTCACGATTTAAATTAACCGCCTTCACCAAACCTTCAACGGATAAATACTCCAAACTGTCGGCTCCCACTTTGCGGGCCAATTGTACATTATTCATTTGGTTGGCTATCAATTCCTCATGTGTAGGTATATTAATACCCATATAACAGGGATACTGCAAGGGAGGACTGGCTACACGCACATGCACCTCTACGGCACCAGCATCACGTAAAAGTTTTATAATAGGGCCAATGGTATTACCACGAACAATAGAATCATCGACCAAAACCAAACGTTTACCAGCAACATTTTCCGAAAGAGCACCAAATTTCTTGGCAACACCTAATTGACGCAAGCGATTAGAGGGTTGGATGAAAGTACGTCCCACATAACGATTCTTGCACAAAACTTCAGCAAATTCTAAACCGGATTCTTTAGCATAACCATGAGCAGCTGCTGTGCCCGACTCGGGAACGGAACTGACAATATCAGCCTTAATGGGAGCTTCCCTAGCCAATTGTCTGCCACATTGCATACGTACCGAATACACCATTTGTCCCTCGAAGATTGAATCACCACGAGCGAAATAAACATATTCAAAAATACAGAAGGCCATTTTCTTAAAGTCGGGTCTCTCAACAATATCCACGGTGCGATAACCATTGCGGGTAAGTTCAATAATCTCACCGGGTTCAACTTCACGTACATAACGAGCACCTATGGACAGGAAACCGCAAGATTCACTGGATACCACCCAACCCTCGGCTGAAGCATCTTCCACTTTAGTAGTGCCCGAGTTGAGGGGGACAATTTTGCCCAAGCATAATGGACGATTACCATAAACATCACGCACAGCATAGATTTTGTCCTTGATCATAATAACTAAAGAGTAGGACAAATGAGCCAATTGCATAAAATGACGTATACGAGCTGGCCAATTGGGTCCATCTTCTTCGGATATGCCCTCGGGACAGCAGCAAAGACTCTGGGCAATCAATTCACTGTCACTGTGGGTGGACAAGCCTACACCACGGCCCAAGACTTCACGTCTCAACGATTCACTGTTTACCAATTCACCATTGTGAGCCAAAGCCATGGCACCGTGAGCTGTGTGCACGACAAATGGTTGGCAATTAACCACCTCTGAGGCAGCGGAGGTAGAGTAACGGGTATGACCGATACCCAAGTTGCCCTTTAGCTTTTTCATAGAATCCTCGTTAAACAATGTGCTGATCATGCCCATGCCCTTGTGCATATTAAAGCTTTTTGAGCATTTTCCTTCACTAGTCACAATGCCAGCCGATTCTTGACCGCGATGTTGCAAGGCCACCAAACCCAGACATATCACGTGTGCGATTTCAATTTGTGTAGGCCAATCACCACAAGCAATGGCTCCAAAAACCCCACACTCATGTGTTAGACCGGTTACCTCTTTACCGCACCCCGCCACAGGCTGTAATTGCTGTTCATTAGACTCTACTACTGGTGACATGCTCGCACTATCAGTAGCAGCATTTGTTTTACAGCAATTATCAGTTGTAGTTGTGGTTGTTGTTGTTGAACAACATGCTTCCCCAACTACTACTTCCAAATCACTTTCATTGGCTCTACAGGTGTTTGTATCAACGAATCCCTCCATGTGTTTTTTAATTAAATTGCTATTGTTTCGTTATTTCTTAAATTAAATAGAAAATATTCGTTAAAATTGTCTCGCAGATTGAAATTCTAAAATAACAAACCTTAAATTTACGCAATTTCTTTCACGATCTTCGTTTTGCTTATTTAATAATTTATTATTAAAAAATTTCGCAAAACTATTATACTACGCAGCCAAAATAACCCAAAACACACCAGACACCCAACAACTACTAAACACTCACTAAACTCACACTAAAATTAAACGCTCGCACGCGCATTCATACTACCAGGGCGAATTAGTACAAGTTTCAATTATGTTAACAGCTGATAATTTTTTTGTTCATGAAAATCTATACCAAAACTGTCAAACTCTTTATATAAAAAATTAATCCCACAACCAAAACTGTCAAACTCCCTAAGTAAAAGAGAATGAAATCGGAACATACAACAACTCGTATAAATTCGTTTTCGTCTACCACACTAATACCAACACCACATTTGTCCATACAAACTACACATGTAGCAAAAAGTAAAGAAAAAACCTAAAAAGTAGTAAACACTATTATTTATTTTACTAAATTAAAGTAATAAAATAAAATATTTAATTAAAAATAATTCAACATTAAACTTTTTAATTTTGATAACATCATCCTACTTGTTATTTAAATATTTTTACTCCGTTTTTATTTTATTACTTTACTTTGCAACACTGCTTTCCCTAACTATCAAAACTCCAATTAAAGGGTTGCCTGTCATATGTACTACAACAAAAACAATATCTTCTCCGCTGTTAATTATCTGTTGTTAGGTGCTCTTGTTGTTGCCCTTGACTTTATTTGTTAATCTATAAATAGTTTTCTTCTTTTTCTTTTATGGACAAATCTCTATTACTTTCTAGTAATACATAATTTTTGTATATATACATATGTATGTACATGTGAATGATTTCTTTTATTTTATTATAAATTTAAGTGCTTACATTAATAATTTATGTTGTGTGATTGGTTCAAATTTAAATTGTTGCAAATAGCATTGACATTCGTGTAAGGTTTTTCATTATGGCAATGATGTTAAGAATATAGTGTTGCCAGTATTAATTATTTATATTAACGGTCTTATAACGTAGGAAATTAAAAATAGTGTTGAGAACAGTGCTGCCAGAAAAATGTTCATTCCCCCCAAAAAAAATCCCAAACAAAACGGAAAAAGGATTTTAATAAAAAAATATTAAAAATACGAATTCTCGGTTATTACGAACTATTTCTCAAGTCCCGATATTTTGATAACTATTTTCATACAAAAAACATCTCTTATAACGAACTCTCTTATCACGAATCCTCGTACTTTTTCAGCCCCTCAAGTACAATTTCATAAAATTTTTCCTAGTTTCCTATAACAAACTTTCAAAAGTATGTGTTAAAATAAGAAACTATTTCGCTTTGTTTAAAAAAACAGTAATTTGTTCAAAATATGTATGTGAACAAATAAAATCAGTGATGTTTTTTTTATGAAGAATATGAAATAAATGTATAAATTCATATTAGTTTAATTGCGGAAAATGACACTGGATCTTCAATAACTTCACCCCTCTTAACGAACAAATTTAACTGGTCCCCCGCAGTTCGTTATAAATGGGTTTGACAGTAAAAAAAGAACAGTAAGTAAGTAAGTAGTAAGTAAGTAAGTAAGTAAGTAAGTAAGTAAGTAAGTAAGTAAGTAAGTAGTAGTAAGTAAGAAGTATGTAAGTAATAAGTAAGTACGTAAGTAAGTAAGTAAGTCAGTAGTACGTAGTAGTAGTAATTAAGTAGTCGTCCGTCGTTCAGTAAGTAGTCGTAGTAAGTCGTCGTACGTCCGTTCAGTCGATTAAGTAAGTCGTCCGTAGTCGTAAGTCGTCCGTCCGTCCGTCGTCGTCGTCCGTCGTCCGTCCGTCGTCCGTCCGTCCGTCGTCCGTCCGTTCCGTCCGTCCGTCCGTCCGTCCGTCCGTCCGTCCGTCCGTCCGTCCGTCCGTCCGTCCGTCCGTCGTCCGTCCGTCCGTCCTCCGTCGTCCGTCCGTCGTCCGTCCGTCGTCCGTCCGTCCGTCCGTCCGTCCGTCCGTCCGTCCGTCCGTCCGTCCGTCCGTCCGTCCGTCCGTCCGTCCGTCCGTCCGTCGTCCGTCCGTCCTTCCGTCCGTCCGTCCGTCCGTCCGTCCCGTCCGTCCCGTCCGTCCGTCCGTCCGTCGTCGTCCGTCCGTCCGTCCGTCCGTCCGTCCGTCCGTCCGTCCGTCCGTCCGTCCGTCCGTCCGTCCGTCGTCCGTCCTTCCGTCCGTCCGTCCGTCCGTCCGTCCGTCCGTCCGTCCGTCCGTCCGTCCGTCCGTCCGTCCGTCCTCCGTCCGTCCGTCCGTCCGTCCGTCCGTCCCGTCCGTCGTCCGTCGTCCGTACGTCCGTCCGTCCGTCCGTCCGTCCGTCCGTCCGTCCGTACGTCCGTCCGTCCGTCCGTCCGTCCGTCCGTCCGTCCGTCCGTACAGTAAGTAAGTCGTACGTAAGTCAGATCGATTCACGTAAGGCCGTAAGCCACATACAACACCGATTGGGAATCAGTGTCGTTCCCACGACAATCGGTTCTTCGCACCGGAACGACTCGGAGTTCAACGAACAACGACCAAGGATTGTCAACTCAGCCACACCGACTTTACACGTGTCGCTGCTACAACAACAACCGATTGGGAATTAGGAAAATGTATTGCTATTTTCGTATTCCTTGAGAACTGGTTAAAAAAATAACACAAGTAAATTAAACATGCAAATAAAATTTGTTTCACAAATATGTATTTATCTACAAATATATATGCACTATTTTTCCATTTACAATAGTATAATTGAATAAAAAAGAATAAAGTAAAATAGGTGTAAACGAGTTCTTAAGTACTAAAACAAATTTAAAATTAAATTAAACCAATTATTAATTATGAGGTAATATTATAAAAAAAAAATAAATTAAATAAAAATAAAAAAAAACATTACTACAACCACAAACACTCTATGTACTATTATTACTTTTACTAGTTGTATTATTTATATGATTGTCATTGTTTTGGTGATTATGTTCTAGGAAAAATTGATGACTTTCTAATTCTTTATAAACATCATTCGATTCGAGTACATCTTCAGCATGAGCTATGTCATTCTTAATGCAGGCAACTAAATCTTCTAGAGATTTAAAATTTTGTTCTGGCCTCAAGTAGCCGACAATGCAAACTTTAAGTAAACAGCCATATAAGTCACGATTAAATTCATGTAAAATGTGTGTTTCCTAAAAGAAGAAGTAGGCATTAGAGGAAATATTTTAATAAAGTAAAGATAATTTAAAAGTAAATATGGAATTTATTACAAAAATTCTTTATATTTAATACACTTTCATTTTACCACAAAGTATACATATATATACTTTGATATTTTACGATTAAAAACAGCTGAGTTTGTATTTACAAATATGCTGACAATATTTTAAAATTTATCTCTCTTAAAAGTCAAGGACAGGAACGAAAGAAAATAATCGCAACAGATAACATATCATGAGGAAACTGCTTTAATCTTAAAAGATAATGAACTTGCTCATTGGTTTAAAAAGTTGTGGTAGTAAAAGGTATTGATAATACAATTACTTGCACTATATAACTTATTTTCAATTTATTTATAGAAAAATATTTTATACCAATTCACAAAATTGCGAAGAAATAATAACTCTAACACGTAACTGTCAATCTGTAGAATCTATTAGAGAACATTTAATTAATAAACTGCTGACTTTAAATTATTAATTGGTTTTTTAAAATTTTCAATACAATTTTGTTACATTAAGAATTTCAAAATATTTTTGTCACATTTAAAGTAAGAACCATAACCTTCAAAATAATTTCACATTAATTTTGAATTTACGTCTTAGATAAAAGTTTACGTAAAAAAAACAATCGATCTTACTATATATTGCAATGTAAAAATTAATATTCCTGCAAAATGACACTTATGGAAATTAACAATATCAGTTGAATGTTGTCACGCTTTTAATTGATAAGATTGGTAACTCTTTATAAAATGTAATTTCCCGGCAGAGCAGAGTGTCTGTTCCGAATCAACTCTGGTTATAGCATTATTTACACTACCACTATTAATTACACTACCCTTCGACATAGAATAGACAATAGAAATATACACAGCCATATCTTACTACTGCTGGTTAATAAAACAACTTAGTAAAGTGTAGAAAGAACAAGTTTCAAGTGATTACCTTTTAGATTACTTGGGGACACTAAAATGACAATTGAGTCAATTTATGTATTATAAAGAATACATTATGTCAAATGTCCCAAAAATTAAAAAATTTCTTCAACTAATTAGTTAGAAATTTAAGGAAAAACTTTACATCGAAAAGCGATACATAGACTGCTTATAGTACCGCTGGGTAATAGACTTACAACCACACATTTACATACGATATGATAAACACGACATAAGGGGGAAGAATGATTGTATCTATTAAATTGAAAACAAACAAATAAGTATATTTTCATCAATAAATTCTTGAGTGTCATATTGAGTTTGCATGTACGTGAATCTGCCAAATCATTTAATTATACATTTCATGCTAAAACAACATGTATATACATACGTAATATTTTACTACTTACTATACTTTTTTCTTTATTATCATAAAAAGGATTCCAACCAATGCTCATGACCATTTTATAAACAGGTCCATTGTCAACATTGGCCCAGCCAAAATAAACACCAGGCTTAAAACAGTCTGGCAGAGATTTAACCACCTCCAGGGGATAATTAGCTGTAAATAATATTTATAATATTACATAAATTGACATTAAGTTTTATTAACAAAAAATCCTTGTAAAACTAACCTGTTGGTATGCCCAACTCTTTGGAACCACGACCAAATCCGGCAACAATTTCACCACAAGTAAAAAATGGCAAATAATTTAACATTTTCTTAGAGCCACTACTTAACTGTGACGACACGCGTCTGCTGATGATGCAAAATGTTTTGTTAATTAATGTTATCTCTGGCAAACTGTAATCAAAAGTCCACACAGTTCTATGACAAAATTTACGTTGATAACCACCAATTGCTATTGTTGTTGGCTTTAGACAAGAGCGCGTTAAATTATTGTGTACGTTATTTAATAATGCAAATGATAAACTAACTCGCCGTATGCTTTGTAAACTGTATTAATAAAAAGAAAGCAAAATTTATACTTGTAGAAATGGTTATGGCACACAAAATCAATTAAATTCATATGTTATCAATTTTCCCCAACTATACCTTTTAGCAAACATTTATACACATTTGATTATGAACAAATTTTATTAAAAATTTCTAGAAATAACATTTCCTTTAAAATATTTTAAATTGTTTTAAGTTTTTTTTTTTTGAGTAGTTTTGTAAGTTTATTTTTATTAGCTTATTTATGACGTCACAACTGTCAAAAACATATGGTGTACTAATTTAGTGTTGTAAAACACCACATAATAAAAATAACAGTCCTGATAACTTAACAACACTGAATGTATTCTATTTTTGTCGAAAATTCGAAGTCATGTACAATTTTGTTCAAAAAGAGGCGGTAAGTCGATATAAACCATAATTAAAATCAGATTTTTAATGCTACAGATGGAAATAGTTATTATTAAAAATTTACATAATATCAAAATTAGTCTAAACTCCAAAACAAAAGATATCAACTTAATAATGCTTCTATTTTACTGCAAACCTTTTAAAAGTAAATGTTTTTTTCATTTTAAATAAGTTTCTCAAAAAAGTAAATATGTCTACCAAATTTTATGACAATCGAAGCATAATTCACCTGAAAATCATATGAGATCTTCTTCTGAAAGTGACTAAAGCGACATGGCCACACATCAAATTTGTTGACTCAAACGGTAAGTATATATGCGGTGTGAGTTTTTTTACGTACACAATTTTTTACGTACACGTTTGTCAACCAATTTGATGTGTCGCCAAGGCGCTTAAAGCTGGAGGTCCACACCACGCGTTATACGCTTTTTCTCGCATTCTATGCGTCTGTCAAAAAAGTAGAATCAATGTATTTGTATGCTACAAGTTACAAGCACAAAAGCGTAGGATGCCTTGACGCGTAGAATTCCTACTTTTATAAGCGTCACAGAAGGCGCACGAACATGTCAGCTGATTTTGACATTTTATATTATTTATTTAATGTTTATTTATTAAAACGCGTAGAACGCGAAGTAGGTATGAAAAGCGCATAATACTTTGACGCGTATGTGGACCTCCGGCTTAAACATACACAAAAATGGCTTTCAAATGTAATAATGGAAAACGATACCACAGGGTATACAGAGGCGTCACGAGCAAAAAACTATTTCCCTCTCTTTCGCACAAAACGATTTTAATGTTTTTTTTAGCTGTATTTTATATATCTCTTCTCACCAAACAATTTCAAAATCAAACAAAAGCTGATTTTAGACTTTTTTAAATGTCAAAAGTGACACCTCTGTATACTTTGTGACGATACATTGAAAATTTTAAAATCAAAGCTGAAGATTTTGCCGGCTTACTGCCGTCTTTAAGTCGCCGCCGAATTTTTGGGTGTCTGACGACGTTAATAGTTGTCGGCGCAGGTCTTTGGCCGCTTGTTGTAAAAAAATTGTGCAAAATTATTATAAAAATTCTAGTTTAATTAAATAAAAAGTAATTTCCTTAAAGGTTTCCTTAACTACTTTACGTAAAGCATAGAATTTACTTGTATTTTTACCATAAAATAAAGTTAAAAAGTGTTTTAAATTAAACCTGTTAGGAGGAAGAGGTGAAAAGAAATTTATACCAATTGGATTTTTTTTATACCATATATGATGAAGCCCCAAAGAATTTTCAGGAAATTGTGAAATCTATTGGAATTGTTTAACAAATTGTGTAAAAATGTGCATAAAATTTAAGGAAAATTGTTTGAAAATGCAGGAAAATGCCACAAGCTGCGTTAATTTGTGCATAAAAATAGATTTTTGCGAGATTGTGTAAAACAAAGAAAATCCTATCAAAGTATAAGTGCGAAAAAGAGCGGCATATAATAATTTGTGTATGTGTAAAAAAAGTTTTTTCCATTTCTTTCTATGCTTCAGATTCTTGACTAATCTTTGTCTATTTTGTTTTTTCTTTCAACACTAAACAAATAATAACAACAACAGCAGCAGCAGCATAATAACAACAAAGCATAAATAAAACGGAAAATTAAAAAAAGAAAAATCCAATTGTAAAGCGAAAATAATTAAGAAATAACAAATTGTAAAATTCCTTTTTCTTGTTTGAGACTGACATCAACAAACTTTGGAAATTGTGTGTATGAGTGTGTGTGTGGAATTGTGAAAAGTGTGGAGAGGGTTTGACAAGTTTTTGTTTTGTTCTGTTATTCGCGTGTTTAATTTTTTATTTAATAATTGGTGAAAAAGACTTGGCAGAAAGGAAATTAGTGTAAACATTGTATTGTTTTTATTAAAAGAGTAAGAAAACAAGATCACTTTGTGGGCTTCGACGGGCTACAGTTATTGTGACGGCGACAATACAAACGCCGGCAAAGTGGATAGCCGTGGTGGCCTAGGGCCCCAGGACTACGCAGGCATGGTGGGTATGCCTGGTAGTAGTGCTGGTGGCGTTACAAATGGTGGCCCAGGTGTTGGAGTGTCTCCCGTAGGTCCAGGTGGTGTGGGACCGGGGCATATGTATGCCGCCGTGGGTCCTCAAGATAGTAAGTGATGTTGTGTGCTTGATTTAAAACATCTGGGCGAACAGTTTAATTTTTTTATCTTTTTTAGTACGTGATATTGTACAAATGCCCCCGCCGCCACCCTCTAATGCACCCACATCAGCAGATGCTTGTCTTAGTATTGTCCATTCATTGATGTGTCATCGTCAGGGCGGTGAAAGTGAAGGCTTTGCCAAGCGTGCCATTGAGTCATTGGTGAAAAAGCTAAAAGAAAAACGCGATGAATTAGATTCCCTTATCACTGCCATTACCACAAATGGGGCCCATCCTAGTAAATGTGTTACCATACAGCGAACATTAGATGGACGTCTACAGGTGAGAGAGAGTGCAGTATATTGACTCAATCAATCATTTAAAGCATTTCCGTTTGTAGTATTTTAATTCTAAATACTATTTATTTTACGTTTTCTTATCATCTGTACATATGCGTGCATATCGTATTGCACGATCATTTTGTCTAGACAAAAATATTCTACAAATAAAAATAAGTGAGAAATTATAAACGATCATGTTCGACTATATGATACTGTATACTGTTAAGTAGTAGTTTTTTCGGAGCTGGATCTTTATTTTGTAATGTAATGATTTCAGTAAATGAGATTTTAAGGAAGCTATGGGCAATCAATAATTCTCAGGCAATTGATGAAGGAGTAAAAATCTACTTATATATTACAAACATCAACACAAATCTATTATTTCCTTCCAATAGAGGGGTAGAGTATACATTTATGTCTAGAATTTCCATTCAATGTTTTACAGGAGATTTTAAGGGGAATTATTACGTTTCTGTTTTTTTATCCATGGAATATGTAGTAAATTAATTAGTATCATTTAGGGGCTAAACTAATATTAGTCAATAGACTACGGATTTATTTAGTCTAAGGATTAGTCTATGGAGAGTATATGGAGTGATGTATTGACTTTTTTATGAACAAGGAATAGTCTATGGATTCATTTGCTAATCACCATATGTATTATACTTAGTGTACTGACTAATTTATACACTAGTCTACCAACTACTCTATATACTACTTAACAAACGTTTAACATTTTAAAATACACTTTTTCTTAGGGAACCTGTGATAGATATAATTCGATGTCAAAAAGTACAATAGCACTGAATTTTCCATCCCCGCTGTAAATAATTTTTCGAAAAGAATGTTTTATTAAAAGTAGCAAACATTATTTATAATTTTTCCAATTGTTTGTTTATTTAATGTCGGTACTTTTTTACTGCATATGTTTATGTTTATGCTGATCACGTTCGGTTAGCATTCTTTGAATGCGTGTGTAATGCCTACTTAAGGGCACTATTTAAATGCATATTTAATTTGTACTTCCTTTAACAGGCTTTTAATTTTGTTTTTCTCAAAATTTTAAAATTCCTTGTAATTTTTCTAAAATTTTCGAAGATCCTAATATTAACCATAAATGAGCTCACATAAAGTTGGTTAATCCATTATTTTTTAACAATTTTAGGTTGCTGGTCGCAAGGGCTTCCCGCATGTTATATATGCTCGTATATGGCGTTGGCCGGATTTGCATAAAAATGAATTGAAACATGTTAAATATTGTGCATTCGCTTTTGATCTCAAATGTGATTCAGTTTGTGTTAATCCTTATCATTATGAGCGTGTTGTATCGCCGGGAATTGATTTATCTGGTCTTAGTTTACAATCGGGACCAAGTCGTCTCGTTAAAGATGAATACTCAGCTGGACCATTGGTGGGTGGCATGGATATAGATGGCAATGATATTGGCACAATACAGCATCATCCCTCACAAATGGTGGGACCACCAGGTGGCGGTTATGGTTATCCACCAGGACCAGGTGCGTCAATTTTTTCTAATGGTATTTACATTTAGCTTTTTATCGAGTTTTTTTCTTTAGTTCTGTTATTTTGTTAAATTTTTGTTTTGATTTTTATTTATGTTGTTTTTATTATGATAATGATTTAGTTACTGATCCAAATCACATGAATGCTGCTGCTATGTACGCTGCTGCTGCTGTGGCCGGGCGTGCGATACCAAAAATTGAACCAAATGAAGGCGGTGGTGGAGTACGTAATTCCTGGATGGTGCCACCACCGCCGCGACTTCAGCCACCACAGGCTTTACAGCAGTCTACACAGCAATCCCAACCTCCCGGTTCGCAGCAGCAACAACAAACCGCAACTCAACAACAACAGCAGCAGCAGCAACAACAACATACTGCACAAACTCAACAACATTCGCTTTGTAAGGCAGATTTTTGTTTTTATTTTCTTTAAAAGTTTCGTTTTACATTAATTTTTTGATAATTTTACAACTTTCAAAGAATATTCTTATTTATACAATTGTTTTCTTAACTTTATTTGAAGCAGTGGGTCATGCTATGCAAATGGCGGGATCCATGAACCCAGGTGCTGTTATGGCGCCACCACAACCTCAGAATCCTCAAGGCAATGGTCATGGTGGTCCACCACATGGTCATGGTCCAACGAATTCTCCCAACGATCCTACTGGTCTAGGTATGCAACAGCCTCCACAGTCTGGTCCTCAAAGCGGGGCCCCCAACGGAGGACAACAGGATGGCTACTACAATTCACCTACAACTTCACAAATACCCAATGTAGCGGAAGCCAAATTTAATGCTGCCCTCAACAGTGGCGGCGGCCAGCAACCCATCTCCCCTCATATGCAACAAAACGGTTATGTCTCTGGACAACCGCCCGGTCAACCAAATTATGGCCAACAAGTGTCTGGTAATAGTGCTCAAAATGCTAATCAATCGAATGCTCCGGGTGGAGTACCAGGTAATAATGCACCAGCCGCTGGTACTTGGACAGGATCAAGTACTTTAACCTACACACAGGCCATGCAACCGCCAGATCCCAGAACGTTACTACCAGGAGGCTACTGTAAGTAATACTCTTCCTCTTAGATTTCATTCTTGACAAGTGTTATTTTCCCCTCTTTTCGGACAGGGAACAATATAAACGTTATGCCACCCCAAGAACCACCACGTTTATTGTCACGTCAACCTCCTCCCGAATACTGGTGTTCCATTGCTTATTTCGAATTAGACACTCAAGTGGGTGAAACGTTTAAAGTACCCTCTGCCAAACCAAATGTTAAAGTTGATGGTTATGTGGATCCCTCCGGTGATAGTCGCTTTTGTTTGGGTGCACTCAGTAATGTGCATCGTCAGGAGCAATCGGAAAGGGCAAGGTAAATGTAAAAACAGTAGGAAGTTTTCAATATTTCTGACTGAAACTTGTTTCTCTCTTTTTCTAATTAGACTACACATTGGTAAGGGTGTCCAATTAGATTTACGTGGCGAAGGTGATGTTTGGTTACGTTGTCTTAGCGATAATTCTGTATTTGTACAAAGTTACTATTTAGATCGTGAGGCTGGTCGTACACCTGGTGATGCTGTACATAAAATATATCCTGCTGCCTGTATAAAGGTGATTATTAAAACAATTTGGTGAAGATAACTTCTAAATGAATACTAATTATTTCAATTGTTTGTTGTTAGGTATTTGATTTGCGACAATGTCATCAGCAAATGCACTCACTAGCTAGTAATGCTCAGGCAGCTGCTGCCGCTCAAGCAGCCGCTGTTGCCGGTCTACCAAGTTCGCAATTGGGAGCACCACCAAGAAGTTAGTATTTTTACGCGTAAAACTTACAACTTAAATAAATATGTATTTTTATATAATATTTTAGATATTTCTGCGGCCGCTGGCATAGGTGTCGATGATTTAAGACGTTTATGCATTTTACGTTTAAGTTTTGTTAAGGGTTGGGGACCTGATTATCCACGACAATCGATCAAAGAAACACCTTGTTGGATTGAGGTACATTTGCATCGTGCTCTACAATTATTGGATGAAGTTTTGCATGCAATGCCCATAGACGGCCCTCGTGCTCTTGCTTAGAATTTAAGTACTAAAAAAGGAACTAAATCTAATGTCTAGTAATAAACAAAAACAAAAGAGATTCTTCTTTTCGAATGTTGTTGTTTTAACTTGCAATTTGAAAGGAAATGATTTGCGATTCTTTAAAAACGTAGAAAATATATAAGTTTCAGTTTTTTTAATCAAAAATTACATACGTACATACTTAGATACATAACTCAAAACATACATGCAAACATAACATAATAATACATATATTATATATTTTTTTTATTTAATTATTGTTTAATTTTAGTTTATTATTTTTAAAATAATGCCTTTGATTAATGCTTTAAAAAAGTGTAAACTTAAACAACAAAAAAGTTTAAATTTATAATTAAAAACAAAAACAAAAAACCCCAAAATATGATTCTTTTTTATTTTTTATTAAAATAAAAGTAAAAAAGACAACAATACACAAGTTGCTATTAAACAAATTTTGTAAAAATTTAAAAAAAGTTTTGTATACATGTTTTTTATTTAACTTTCATTAAATTATTATTTAATTTTTGTTAGAAAAAAACTATTTAACGAATTTTTAACAATAAATTAACTTGTTTATTTCTATTTTTTCAATTGGATTTAAACCAAATACAAGTATTTGAATATATAACAATATAAACAAAAGGCTTTTATTAATACGGAAGGGGTCACTAGATGGGTTAATCGATTTAAAATTGTTACAACATTTCTTTTTAGGAAACTTATTTTCTGATACAATGTCCCTCGTCCAGAATAATCAGAAAGTAGGAACTACAATGAACTAATTCTCACAAAACTTTAAAAACTAATGTTTTAACAAAACTTATTTTACCGTTAACAAAGCAATATATAAGTATTTTCCATACATCGTCTGTGTTTTTTATTAAATGATAATAAACAGTAAATCACGTTATTTAATATTAACTTAAATAATCTTCTATTTCCAATTTTACTTGATCATCTAACCATTCTATCCATTCGGACGTTACCAATCTTTCTAGGGTTACCTCGCGGAAAACTTCTACTCTACGCACTTCTTTAAATTGCATTTTTTCAAACATTCTAATGGATTTTTCATTGTCCATGCCAATTTTCGCTTCAAATTTATCGATGGCCAAATTTTGTTGAGCATATTTCATCATTAACAACATAGATTCCCAACCGTAACCTTTTCCCCGTACCCTTGCTTCGGCTATCATTATTTCAGCTTCGGCTACTTTTTCATTGGAGTCTGGATCTATGGTTAGAAATAGATTGGTATCGCCTACCAAAGATTCAATTTCATATCCGGTTTTATCGTATGTATCACGGCAGAGTATGAGAAATGTACATTTGTCTTCATCTTCACGCCATGAACGTTGCATATCATATTCTTCCTGCAGTGTTAGGGGCTCGGAAGCTGTTAGTTCTTGCAATTCTTTCGATTGCATCCAGGTGTGGTATTTGGGTACATGTTTGGCTTCGTAAGGTACCAGGATGACACGTTTTCCCAGGATTTTGATTTTTTCATTCAATCTCATGGTGACTACAATAGCAACGTTGCTGTTGTTGTTGTTTATAAAAATGTAAACAAACCAGTACAGCTGTTCGGCCAGTTTTTGTTTGTGCTCAATATGTCACCATTCAATAAAAATGGTGATATTTAATATTTCAAACAATTTAAAAGCTTATTTTTATCACTTTTTTATAACTTGTGACTTTTTTTTAATAATATGTAAATATAAATTAATTAAATATATCTCTAAATTTTTTACTAAAAAACTAGTATGGCAGCGCTAAAAACAAAAATAGTATTAAATTCTCCTTGTTGGTGGTGTTGTGCACTGAACATACTCCAAGTATAAGTGTGGCTTACTAACTTGCTTTAATATAAAGAATTTACATTATTTTAATAATATCCATTGTGTTATTTAATTTTTATTAAAATGTACTTGTTATATTAATTAGTTCCTTATTTTTGAATTTTATTAAATGACTGTAAAAATGTTGACAATTAATGTATTTACAAACTTCAGATACAATTAAAATGTATATTTTCTTGTTAACATATTGACAACACTTAGCATTTGGCAAAAACCAAAAATAATTGAACATTTTTGCGTACGGCAGCAACAATTCTTTTTGGCTATTAAGTGATTCTTTAAGTTTTGCAAATAAATTAAATAAACATAATATACTTATGAAATCTGTATAGCGAAAAAAGTGAAGTACTTTTGCAATAGGTTTTATGTCGATTTTATCTAAACAAAATATTATAAGATATCAAAAACCATTGTGAAAGTGGCTTCGTCTCAAAGAAAAAACCTGCACAAAAATCAATAAGACTCGCCAGGAAAACTAAAGTAATTAAAATTAGTAAAATAATTAAGTAATTAATTTGTATGTATATACAACATAAAGTGTTTTAACAAAAAAGAAAAATGTCAAAGGGTGCTCGAACATAATCAATTTGATTTAATCCATTTTTATGCTTTTGCATTTATCCGAAAAGCATTCAAGGAAAACAAACTAAGTTGGATTTAATCATAATTGGCTATAAAAACGAGTTATCCCATAAGCTACGTAATTTTAATTTATAGTAGTAAATACAAATAGAGAAAAAAAGAAACTGTTAGTTTTTAAGTTATTCTGGAAATTAATACTAAAATAATGGATGCCCCGGAAGCAAACAATAAGAAACAAGCGGCTAGCTCTGATATGGTCGGACCGGAGAGTAAGAAAATCAAATTACAAACATCACCATCTTCAGCAATGGATGATCATGCCAAAGCCATGAAAGTGGCGGGTTTTTCTCTGAGTGCCATTGAAGAAATGCGCAATCGTGCTGACGACGATAGCAATAGTCAAAGTTTGGATCAACAATTGCGTCATTTTCAAGTTCTCGATGAAGTTGGCTCTAATTCGGACGATGAGGAAGAGTGTAAGTTGTATTAAATGTTTTCAAATTAAAGATTAAGTGGCATGTTGATTAGAAATAATTATAATATTGGGTAACTACTTACCATGCAAGGAGTTTAGCAGATTATTTATCTAGAGGGCTTAAATATATATGCTAGGTTATCTATAATGTGCAAGTAAAACTGTAGTCTTGACTAATGGCTGCTGTATAGTCAAGACAATAGGCTGTTTTATTGGCTTGATTATAGACTATTCTATAGTCCCGAGTGTAGAGTAATAGTCACGAATATAGAGTAATCTACATTCTCGAATATAGATTTTTCTATAGCCTCGACTGTTATAGACTGTAGTCTGTCTCTCTAGTCTCTAGACTGTTCTATAGATTGTTTAATAGTCACGAATATAGACTTTTCTACAGTCTCGACTATAGACTGTTATACAGTCTCGACTATAGACAGTTCTGTAGCCTCGACTATAGACAGTTCTATAGCCTCGACTATAGGCAGTTCTATAATCTCGACTATAGACTTTTCTAATGATGTTCTATAGTCTTCACTATAGATAGTTCTATAAAGTAGAGAATAGTTTATAGACTTTTATATAGTCTTGATTATAGACTTTACCATAGTCTGGACTATAGCATTATCAATATTCTCCAATTACCATTTTAACACCAAAGATTACTATCGCAGTGAATTTATACAAGAAGTTGGTGTGAATCCCTCTGTATTCGATAATTAGAACTTGTAGACTCTTTAAAACTTCTCATTACAAATGCTTTTTAAAATCTAAATGCTTTTAATTGTTTGTGTTTAACTTTTTCCGTTGTTACGAATAATTTTGTTTTTGTTAATATTTTTACATTTTATCGTTTCTATAAATCTTGAGAAATCAAATCTAAATTTCTTATCGTTATATCAACATGCCTGCATTCATTTGTTATATATAAACACACAAACTCAAATAAATTCACAATTGTGTTTTTTTTGTTAACAATAATAAGATAAGAAATTAACTAAAGAGGCTGTATCTTTTTTAGCTGGTTGTGTAAAAACATTTTAGCAAATGAAGTAAATTTCAGTTAAAGGTGTGATTTCTAAAGATTAAGATCGTGTAACGAATTTCGTTAGATATGTAGTTTAAAAATTAAGACAAATGCGTAAATCTAAACTCTCTTTTTTACAAAAGTGCATGACAAAATTATAATTAATTAAACAATTTATTTAAGTAAAAAATTTATTTAAAATGCGTATGTTACCCATATTGCGTATGGACATAAGCGAACCATTTTATCATTATAAAACAGGTGAATATTTGGGTATAATTGTGTGATAAACATTGGGGACTTTTAAGATAAAAATATTAAAAAAAAGTTTTGAAGAGTTTTAAATGAAATTTCTGCGTAATGTTTAAAAAACTTGTTATTGCTTAAGACCCTGGTCCTCTAATTGAGAACGAAATGTTATTATTATTTGTTGCTGAAATTTTATTTGTAGTTTTTAACAAAAATAAAACATTTTTAGTGTTTTCAAACTTAAATACGAGATTTTCGAGATTTAAAGATTATTTTAACAGTTTTAAAATGATTTCGAACATAAGTTCGAATTTTCGAAAACACTCTAAACGCGTATAAAAATACCTTACAATTTATGAGTATCAGAAAATTAGAAATAGGTAAAATTAAAAAATTTTTCGAACACAAGTTCGAATCTTCGAAAATATCTTAAAATACTTATATTATGAAACAAAATTGTAAAACTTTGAAATTTTTAATTTCGAAAATGAAAAATATCAGAAATTGAACACAAATACATATAGATAAAATTTTGTCTTTATAAATTCTCATAATTTGGAGATTATTTTAAACGCTAAAAAAATTTTCGAACATAAGTTCGAATTTTCAAAAATACCCTAAAAAGCTAATAATATGAAAAAATCTCGAATATATTTTACAATTTATGGAAATTTTAAATTTTTTGTAAAATTATGAATTTGAAAATTGCAAAATAATAAAAATTTTTCGAATATAAGTTCGAATTTTTGAAAATATCCTAAGAAGTTTTTATGTATTATCAAAAAAACATGGAAAATACTTTAAAATTAATAAAAATTTTGAGATTTATGGGAAAATTTTTAATTTCGAATTTTATAAATAATATTTTAACATTTTTAATTTTTTATAATTTAATTTCAAAGTTTTGAACACTTCAAGCAAAAATCTTTTTTATCTTTTTCAATGCAACTATTCAAATATTTATCCTTATGCAATTATATACACATCTTCTAAACATATTTATCAGCTTACAAAAAGATAAGATTTCGAGAAATGAATTATTTAAAATAAACCACCACTAATATTTTAACAAAACTAAATAAAAATTTAGATAATGGCAGTGAAATTGGCGATGACAATGGTCAACAGAATGGCGAGGATGATGGTGGAGATGAATCATCAGAATTGGATTTAGATGATGAAGAAATTGAACATTTGCTAGATGAAAATTTACCAGACGATTTAAAGGGTTCCAAGAAACCTAAATATGAAGAACGTTTTAAAACTGTCTTAGAAGGTAGGTAAAACATAAATGAACTCAATACATAAAAAACATCTAAGGAGTTTTTAACATTTAACTTTTCCTATAACAAGAAAAACGTATAAATCATTTTGAAGTACTGCCAGAAGGTTGGGTACAAGTCACACACAACAGTGGCATGCCTTTGTACTTACATAAAAAGACTAGGGTTATAACCACAGCTAGGCCATATTTTTTGGGTACCGGAAGTGCCAGGGTAAATTGTGATATACATTTTAACATTTCTTTTTTTAATAGCATGATTTTATTTTAAATAAAAAAGAAACATGCCATACCAGTGGGTTCTATACCCTGTCTTAACTATCGGCGAGCTTTAGATGAGGAAACAGAAGCTGAAAAAAGAAAAGCAGAAAATGCTGAAAAAGAAGCAAATCAAACAGAAGTTACATCTACAGAAGTGACAACTACTTCATCCACTACAGCAGGTACTACTAACTCAGCGCCAGCACGTTGCCCTTTTGGTTTTACTGCAAATAATAACGCTAGCTCTAACACACAAACACCAGCAGCCACTTCTTCATCAGAAACTTCTACAAATACTCTATCAGAAAAAAATGGTAATAAAGAAAATTCCACTGATACCACCACCACCACCACCACAACCCAAGACAGCTCAACCAATCCTCTTGACAAAGATAAATTACGTAGTTTAGTACCAGCTGCCAAAATTGTCACGGTCAATGAGAACATACAAAAAGAATCTCTTACACCCGACCAATTTAATCAATATTGCAAAAAACTCTTCAAATTTCGCGTTATACGCGTTTTACGTTTTCGTTCCTGGAATGCTAGACGTAAATTTACTAAAAATCGCAAAAATCTTAAAAATATCCAAAGACCCACTTTACCCGATGGTACAAAACTCATTAAGTTTCCTGTTCTAGTACCTGGTGATGGTAAATCAAATCCTCGCGCTCGTCGCGAATGGATTATGAATCCAAGTGGTAAAAGTTATGTTTGTATTTTGCACGAATATGTACAGCATGCTTTGAAGAAGCAACCCACTTATGAGTTTAAAGAATTGGAAAATGCTGCCACACCATATGCTGCCACTGTTTCAATAAATGATTTAAAATATGGTACTGGTTATGGTACTAGCAAACGACAGGCTAAGTCCGAGGCAGCCAGAGAAACACTTGAAATTCTAATACCCGAAATGAAGGATAAAATAACCGGTGTGAAACAGGATAAAAGTGCGGTGGCGAAAAGTAATCAAAAAGATTTATCGGTAAGTGAAATGAATATATTAAGTAAGACGTTATTGACAGAAACCAGCGTTAGAATTAGACTAGACTAGACAGCATCAATAGACCAGACCATAGATTAGACCATAAACTTGTCCGTAGTTAGTCCATAGACTATTCCTTGGAATAGTCAATAGACTAGTGAATAGTCAGTAGTTAATAGACTAGTTCATAGACTAGTCAATAGACTAATGCATAGACTGCACCATGGAATAGTCAAGTGACCGATTTATAGACTTATCCACAGACTAGTTAATAAACTATTTAAAAAACTAGTTCACAGAATAATCCGTAGATTAGTGACTATACTAGTCAAACAACTAGTACATAAGCTAATCTATAGACTAGTACTTATACTAATCTATAGTCAGACTAATCAATAGACTAGTCCCTAGATTAGTCAATAATCAAGTCTGTAGTCTAATGCATTGACTAGTTCATAGACTGAACCATGGACTAGTCAAGTTAATAAAATAGTCAAAAGACTAGTTCACAGACTAAACCATAGACTAGTACATAAACGAATCAATAGACAGGTCTATATAATAATCTTTAGTTCAGTAAATAGACTAGTCAATGGACTAGTACATAGACTACTCCATAGACAAGTGCACAGACTGATCTATAGACCCACTAATCAATAGACTAGTCCATAGATTAGTCAATAATCTAGACTATAGCCTAATGCATAGACTAGTTCGTAGACTGGACCATGGACTAGTCAAGAGACGGATTTTACCTGTAATATGATAAGTAACCAGTTGTTTAATCTTTTTTTGCAGGTCTTCGATGACATACGAATAGAAGATCCTCGCGTTACGGAGTTTTGTAATAAAACCACAGAACCTTCTCCGCATGCCATACTCTTGACCTGTTTGCAACGAAACTTTGGTTTAGGCGAAGATGTGCAAATAAATTATGAAATAAATCGTACTCACAACAAAAAGAATGAATTCACCATGACTGTGGGTAAACACACCGCAAAGGTTTTGTGTAAAAATAAACGTGAAGGTAAACAGCTAGCCTCCCAAGCCATACTACAGGTAAATTAACTATACACAATGCTAAACAAAAAATGTGTATACATATCTTTTTTCCACCAATTTATTTTGAACATCTTTCTAGATTTTACATCCACACATTAAAACTTGGGGTTCTCTGTTACGCCTGTATGGCAATAATTCCATTAAAACGTTTAAAGAAAAGAAACAAGAGGAACAAGAAATTACCGTTTTACAAAGTAAAGCTGCCATTAATCAACCAAATCATGCCATATTGGAGAAATTACGCAGTGAAATGTTGAAATTAAGTGAAAAGAACAAATCGGTACAGAGTAAAGGAACATTTATACCACCAAGTGATGTTGATTTACCCTCATCGTCTGGTTCAAATCTAAATAACGTTGAACTCTAGAAGCAAACAATGACACAAATGACACTATAGTTTACTATACCTATAATAAAAATCAATTGTCGAGAAGACTAAGCCATTACAAGAAATTATTAAAGAAAATCCTAATACCCTTTCATTAGTATAAACATTTTATTATGATAATGTGCTTAATGAACAACAACAATAAATTGTGATCACTATTAAATTTACACACATATTATTGTTAAACAATTTTATTTTATTTCTTTTGTTTTCAAAATATTTTATGGAAAACATTTTTTAGCTATTCCAAACTACTCTGTAATATTTATAACAATGTAGTACATAATTTACTTAAATGATTACATAAAAATATAAAATAAATTTTTGACAGATGTTATTAAAATATTCTTTTATTTATTTGGTGCGATTTAAGATAAAAATGTTAGAAATTGTGCTTTTGTTGAAACTATTTCTCAAATAGAATAAGTAGTCAATACACAACAGAGTAGTTAATAGACTAATCAATAGATTAGACTATAGAGTAATTCATAGAATAGTTCATATATTGGACCATAGACTAGTCGATAAACTAGTCAGAAGAATAGTCAAGAGATTAAACAATATACTAGTCAACAGACTAACTTATAACTAGTGCATAGATTGGACCATAGCAATAAACTAATCTATCAAAAACCGAATTTATATACCAGTCCATAGACTAAAAATATATTAATCCATAGATTAGACTATATAGTAATCCTTAGTCCATAGATTGGACCATAGAGTAGTTAAACCAGTCCATAGCTTCGGATTATGTTCCCATATATTGCAAGTTTTACCATAATTCGTTGAGGTGAAACATCGCTAAATGAAAATTCACCACACACTTTGAAGTGGTTTAGCGATGCCAATCCTGATTATATTAAACATCTGGGATTCAAATTTTAAGATTTTAAAGAAATCATTGAAAATGTTTAATTTATTTAGAAAGATTCAATATGCTGAATATTTGTCTGTCAACTAAAATTTTGTTTGGTTTTCTTTTTAATTAAATGCCATGTAGTAATTAAATGTGCACATTACAAAGCAAAGTACATGCTCCGCCTTAATAACAAGTATTTTTTTACATAAATCCGTTAATATTTGTTAAAATGAATCAAAATTGCAATAAAAACCGCTATTTCATTAAAATGTAGAAAATGGATTTTAAGCCGCAGCCGAAATGTTTAATGTAAAACGCCGTGTTAAGTTTTGGTCGGCGCAGGTCTCTGCACTATAAACAGCATCGTATTTGAACTCTATTATTGCTCTTTAATAATATTAAATAAAATGTAAATTTGAACAATAAAACAAACAATTTTTTACAAAAAGAAGCATAAAAACAAAACCAAATTGCAAATTAACAAAAATAAATTAAATATTTGCAAATATTCAATAAATTCGTTCAAAACGAAGAAAACATTGGAATGAAAAAGAAAATACAAATAAAACAAGAAGAGTGTGAACAAGAAGAAGAAGCAGCAGAAAAGACATAAAACAGGAAATATTCAACACACAAAAGTCTTAAAAGCAAATGGCCATTGAAGACGACAAATAACGTAGAAAAATGTATTTATTGGTTCATTTTTGGTCCACAAAAGTTATTTAGATAGATACACGCAATTAATTACAAACTTTTACAATTAATTAAAGTGAAAAAAGTTGCTAAAGTGAAGTAGATAGCAACGTTTTTATTGATTAACAAGTTTAAGACAAGAACTCTTGTCCACATCTTGTAAAGGAATTTTAAGACGTGTGAGTTTTATTTTTGCCAAGGAAGTGTTCTTCAATATTATTGGAAACATTCTACAGGCCATATGATATAATTAGAAGGTATGTTTTACTCATTATCTCTGAATTTTACTAAAATTAAACTTTATTGTTTTTCCTTTTTATTTATATCTTAATGGGCAAATCTGTGCTCTGTTGGTTGCACTCTTCCAACGATGCCAACATGTAACAGAGTACAATATGAACAGTGAGTAAGTGGTCGTCGCTATTGTCGCATTGTTGGGTTAGTATCTTTGACTACAAATTTTGTTGTACACACAACATTTGTTTGGTATTAATGTAGGTATATGGAGGGGTCTTCGTTTATAAGTCGGATTATCTGACTGTCTGTCGTCTAAATATTTTTCGCATTCGTTAAATAATAATTTACTTTTCAATTTTAACTTGTTAATTTGACTTTTAGCACACAATTTCGTTTTTATGAAAGGTTCCTTAGACAAAGCACTTAAGACTTTTAAAATCCTAACAAATCTCATATACCTTTAGTTTATTGGTTAAAAGATTTTTACAATTATTCTATATAATTTAGCTAATTTTTGTGGTATTATCAAAATCTTTATGTTTAATTAAAAAAAACTTTCACATGTCCACAAACAAATTCTGTATTGTAATTATCGTTTTTAGGTTAGATTTTGATATTTGTTCTAACAAGTTTAGAAAACAGGGGTTTGTTTATAAATTTAGTAGTATTGCATCACAATACAAATTATGTTCGCCAAAAAGCACATTTGACATTGCTTTATGTCGGAAAATTTTTTCTGTAACTTCTGTAGTTAGCATCATATTTTGAGATGCTAAAAGTTACCGAAGTTACATTGAAATACAAATTTCCCGTATGAACGAATATACATATGTATGTACATATGTACTTAGTATGTACAATGTATAGCACATGGCATTTGTTAAGGAACATTCTAAAAATTAAAAATAAAGGTTTTCAAATATTACACAAATATGTAGGTCCCTTCATAATTAATATTCATTACACAAATTGTTAAAATATGTATAAGTAAAATCCCCAAAACACATATCCTTATTAACCTAGGTCAGAGCCCTAGAGATATGGATCGAGGCATTATATTTTTGAAATGTCTTTGTCATTAGTCCAAAGTTATTAGAGAAATGCGAAAAAGCGATTTTAAGTATGTCTTTATAATTATTATAGTTCATTCTAAATGAAAGAAATTGAAGCTCACATGTTATAAAATATTGCGCTCTCACATCGAAACCCTTCAATACCAGTTATGTATACGAATAAGATATAAATATTACAAATAATAATAATATCCATCTGGACTATTCATAATAAAAACAATATGTTGCCATTTTATTTTTATAACTCATGGGACAAACTGAATGTATATACAGTGGCGGCTATGAATTTAGAACAATTGGTATCAGTTACATAGAACATCAAATATTTGCTATAGTTCGTAACTTTTTTAACAAATTCTTTTTTTTATGCGTAACACATATCCTTCGAAGATCACGACGCATTACATTTTGTTCCACTACTTTGTTGTATATAAAAATAATAATAAATTTGGACATTAATTTAGCACAAAATAAAAAAATAAAAAAATAATTAAAAAAATTAAAAATTAAACCGGCTAAATTTATCTTATTTACTTAAAACTTCATATTTTGTAGAATATTTTATATTCTATATAGACTAGACTATAGACTAGACTATAGACTAGACTATAGACTAGACTATAGACTAGACTATAGACTAGACTACAGACTAGACTATAGACTAGACTATAGACTAGACTATAGACTAGACTATAGACTAGACTATAGACTAGACTATAGACTAGACTATAGACTAGACTATAGACTAGACTATAGACTAGACTATAGACTAGACTATAGACTAGACTATAGACTAGACTATAGTCTAATCTGATAACAGACTGAAAACTTATGACGGTGAATTTTTTGGTACTTTTTGTTCTTCAATTGTTACTTTTTGAGTCTTTAAAAATATGATTGAAACTGAATTAAAATTTATAAAATTAGATTTTCTCGTACTTTTTCTAAATGAATATCTTTCATTTGATATAAATATTGTCTATCTTTCCGATTTTGCTAATGTTCAAAAACAAAAGTCTAGAAAGCATGTTTGATCGAATTATTGAAGGTTTGATTCGCTAGGATATCTGGATTTTTTAGAAAATTGGTTTCAATAAACATACGGACAGGATCGGATAATTATATTGTGGAAATTGTACGAAGGCGAAGGTTATAAAAATAGGAATATTTTTTTAGACCCTATACTAAGGGTCCTAAAGAATTCATCAACTTTTTAAAAGCTCCCAGTTTTTATAGCAAAATTTCTATTTTTAAAAAGTTTAAGAAATTAAGTTCAAATTTATTTTCTACCTTTAAAGCTTAAAAGCCCCAAAAAAGCTTTCAAAAGTTATCACAAAATAAACTGGTACAGATTCGGAATATATTCAAAAAGTTCAAAAGGTTATCAGGAGGGGGAGATATATAGAAATTTTTGAAAATAATAAAGTACATACATATTAATAATTTAATTCAAAAATAATAAATCCAAAATTTTATAGAAAAAAGTTTGTAATATAATACTAAACGTTAACACATATCCTGTGTTTATCTAAATAAGAAATTTAGTAAGCTGAATTTTGTATATTTTAAAAAAATATATACCTATGATATTGTTTTAAATAAATTTTAGATACAAAAAATATTCCTTTACAATTAACAAAAATTCGAAATTTTTTTTATCATAATTAAAAGAAAATTAACTCTCCACTACCAACAACTAATTAAAAAAATATTCTATATTAAGCTCTCACTAAAAACAAAAGAGTATTCAACAAGAATCTCCAAATACTTGTACAACAAGAACAACAAATACTACAAACGAATATTATTATTCTATCTATCAAGTCTACAAATTTTGTATGCCATGTGGTAGTTTTTGTTTTTGTTACTCTTGGTATTGGTATAAACAGCCAACGAGCCACGACCAGTCAGGCAGTCACTCAGAGTAAGATTGTGTTTGGTTGGTATTGCTTGGCTCCCATTTTGCGTATTTATTTTGTATATTACTTTTTACAAATTTTGTTTTTATTATTTTTTTTGCTGTTTTATTTATATTTTTTTTCGTTCATTCGTTCGTTTATTCATTCGTTTGTTCGTTTCATTTCTTTTGAGTATAATAATGTTGATGTATGATGATGATGTTGTTGGTTGCTGGTTGTTTGCACTCGTACTCACTCCTCTAGTTGTAGTGTTAGTACATTCTCGTAGTGTAGAACAAGCGTAAACACTGACAACCCACGATTCGGTCGGTACATTATAATACCTATAATTTCAATAACATTCTTCTTCGTACGTTCGTATGTCGGCATTATTTTAGTTGTGGTCTCTGCATAACAAATTGCACTTACGAGCGAGCGAATATAAAAGAAAACTTATGAAAAAAAGTGGATTAATGTGGGCTGACATTATAATAGAAACAAAATACTTTCTGCAACAACTACTTACTACACGACACCTTCGAAACTTATGTAATTTAATTAATAATTAAGAAATTGCAATTATAATTTCTAATCTCACACTACTCTCTCTCTACTCTTAACTTACAGATTATTTCTTACACTAAACATTGACAATATGGAAAACAATATCGATAGAACGGCAGATGAAAGTCTTGATTCAGTACCACAACCAACATACGAAGCTTTAGGAGAAGCCGAAGATGTGGAAGAATGTAATAGTATAAGTCAGACAATGGAATCAGAAGTCCATTTAAATGATTATGTAGTAGAGGAAAAAGACAATGAAGATGAGGATGATGATGATGATGGTCAATCAGATTCAGATCATGAAATGGAAAAAGAATCTAAAGAAGATGCACATTCAGATTCGGATCATGACATGACAAAAGAATCAAAAGAAGAACCTTCATCAACGACAACCTCGCGCACCCATCATAATGAAAGTAATGTGCCAGATTCACATGTAGGCAATCATCATATTGAGGATGAAGATTTCTCTTTGGAATATGATGAAGAGGAAGATATGTGTGATGAATTTGCTCAAGAGAGTTCACAAGCCTATGTAGAACATATTACAGCCGATAATAAAAGTAGTGACCCTTTAATAGTACAGGGTAATGATGGCATGATTAAGAAAATTAAAATCTGCAATACATCAAAAGATGTAGCCAATGATAAGACAGAAATTAAAACAAAAAAATCTTTAAATAGTTCTCAAATTGAAGGGAACGCAAAACTACAGCCGCGCAGTAGTACTCCCATGTCAAGGGAATATTTAGCACTACAAAGATCAGTAAATGAATCAAAAATATTAACAGAATTTGTTACTGAAGTAGCGAATGAAAAACCGCGTAAAGTAAGATCTAAGGATACAACACCCACGGCGGAACATTCGTATTCAACAACAGTGAGAAAAAGTAATCAGTTGACCCCGGAAAAAGTCCATCCAGATGATAGATACCATAGTATTAGTCCTTCACAGGGTAAACGTCAGCATAGCAAACGTTTTGTGCCCCTTAAGGAAAGTGATTGTGATGCAGATTCCTCTTCTCATTTAAGGCCAAGATCTCGCAGCAAAAGTATGCACAATACTGAACTAAATCAGACGGGTTCACATAAAAAACTTAAGAAATGGCCCTCAGAGGAACGTATACACAAACGAACAAATATGCGTTCAGAAAACTCGGAATTTGCTCAAAAACAAATGGAATTTCTACAACGTGTCATTCATGCGTGCGAAAATCCCGGTAGTCGTTCAAGATCACGTTCACGTTCAGATGGTAAATCAATGTCAAATGGTAGAAAAACTCCTAACTCAATTAATGAACTAACTTTTGCAGGAGGTACAACAACGGGCATTGGTGGTGCAGTACAACAGCAGCAGCAGCAGCAACCACAACAAAAAACTCATAAAAGTAGTAGTAAAGATCGTAATTCGAAACGTAATAAATATGAGATGAGTTCGGAAAATGACGAGCAACAGATGTCACAGCTTTTGGGAGAAAATGTCAATGAACCGGCCGATGATGAGTCGGTTAATGAAAGCCAGGCTTCACTGATGGGCATCAGTTCATTGGGCGACGCCACGCTGGGGGATAATGATGAGGTGGAAGCACGTTTGAAATCGCTTTGGCAACCGGCACCTAAGGTAAGGAATTTTCAAGGATTCATAAAATGCTCAATAGTTTAATTTTTATTATAAAAGCTTTTTAGCTTCAAATAAAATTCCATTAAATTTTAGATTCTGTTCCATAAACACGTAAGAATGTTAAGATTATTCTAACAGTTTTACAATTGTTTCGAATATAAGTTCGAATTATCGAATTTAATTTAAAATTTTCGTACATATAGTATAAAGCTTATGATCTACATTCAAAATATTTCAAAATTATGTTTTCATGAATTTTCACGATTTTGTAATTATTTTAAAAGTTTTAAAAATTTTTCGAACATAAGTTCGAATTTTCTATCATATATTAAAAAACGTATATTATTAAACTACGTTCAAAATTCTTCGAACTTGATTATAAGTTTGAACAAAAGTAGAATTATATTTTTATAAGTCCTCATGATTTAGAGATTATTTTAAAAGCTTTTGAAGTTATTTTTGAAATTGTTGAAATAAATCAGAGTTCCTAAGAAGCTTTTCTTTTCTTCCAAAACTTTTTTCTGAAGAAGCTGTTCGCAAACTTAAAAAGCTCTTTGAAAGCTTAAAAAACTAGAAAAGTTTCATTGATAAGTTTTTTTTTAATTTGAATTAAAAAAAAAAATACTAAACCTTTAAGGAATATTGACCATACGTGGGTCCTTATGGTCTCGTTGTGATATCTGAAAGGATATGAAAACAAAAATATAAGCGGGTAATAGAGAGTTGAGGTAGTGTTGTAGTAAGTTAGTGCAGTGTAGACATGAAATAAAAACAATTTTAGGGTGAGAGTCAAAGATACCAACAGATACCATGTAGAGTGTAATCAAGAGTGGTTATTAACGAACCAAGAATTTAAAACATATTTATTTTAAAATATTATTCTGTAATATCAAAGCCTGTTTGCTGCTTTTTTTATGCGCAATACCATTTCCATTGTGGCGATCAACTTTAACAGACTTTTTAATTTCTCAGCTCAGTCCAATGGAATCACACACAAATTTCAAAGTAGTCATAAGGTGGCCACAAAGAAACCTTGTTTGCTATATATAAAACGATTGCCCGATTCAGTGTGGCTACCATCGCATAGTTATAACCAGAGGAGAAAGATTCAAAGCTAGTTGATTGCAGGTAGGTTCCCCCAGTCAAGGAATGCTATGGCATTTTGAACAATGTGTCCTTCCTGTCATGTCACCAGAGGAGGCCTAATAACTTTAACATTACATTGATGGTTGTTCTCCTAAGTCATGTTAGGAAGGATCTTCATATATACGAAGAAAATTTACGTAGTTGTGTATAGGATACGTTAGACCGATCCTCGTATAGGGCAGCTTTGAATTTGAAACCAGAGTAGCATAACTGAGATCTCGATGCAATAGGCTTAAAGTCTTCTGGTCTATAGTCTAGTCTATAGTGTAGTCTATAGTCTAGTCTATAGTGTAGTCTATAGTCTAGTCTATAGTCTAGTCTATAGTCTAGTCTATAGTCTAGTCTATAGTCTAGTCTATAGTCTAGTCTATAGTCTAGTCTAGTCTAGTCTAGTCTAGTCTATAGTCTAGTCTATAGTCTAGTCTATAGTCTAGTCTATAGTCTAGTCATAGTCTAGTCTATAGTCTAGTCTATAGTCTAGTCTATAGTCTAGTCTATAGTCTAGTCTATAGTCTAGTCTATAGTCTAGTCTATAGTCTAGTCTATAGTCTAGTCTATAGTCTAGTCTATAGTCTAGTCTATAGTCTAGTCTATAGTCTAGTCTATAGTCTAGTCTATAGTCTAGTCTATAGTCTAGTCTATAGTCTAGTCTATAGTCTAGTCTATAGTCTAGTCTATAGTCTAGTCTATAGTCTAGTCTATAGTCTAGTCTATAGTCTAGTCTATAGTCTAGTCTATAGTCTAGTCTATAGTCTAGTCTATAGTCTAGTCTATAGTCTAGTCTATAGTCTAGTCTATAGTCTAGTCTATAGTCTAGTCTATAGTCTAGTCTAGTCTATATTCTAGTCTAGTCTATAGTCTAGTCTATAGTCTAGTCTATAGTCTAGTCTATAGTCTAGTCTATAGTCTAGTCTCTAGTCTAGTCTAGTCTAGTCTAGTCTATAGTCTAGTCTATAGTCTAGTCTATAGTCTAGTCTATAGTCTAGTCTATAGTCTAGTCTATAGTCTAGTCTATAGTCTAGTCTATAGTCTAGTCTATAGTCTAGTCTATAGTCTAGTCTATAGTCTAGTCTATAGTCTAGTCTATAGTCTAGTCTATAGTCTAGTCTATAGTCTAGTCTATAGTCTAGTCTATAGTCTAGTCTATAGTCTAGTCTATAGTCTAGTCTATAGTCTAGTCTATAGTCTAGTCTATAGTCTAGTCTATAGTCTAGTCTATAGTCTAGTCTATAGTCTAGTCTAAGTCTAGTCTATAGTCTAGTCTATAGTCTAGTCTATAGTCTAGTCTATAGTCTAGTCTATAGTCTAGTCTATAGTCTAGTCTATAGTCTAGTCTATAGTCTAGTCTATAGTCTAGTCTATAGTCTAGTCTATAGTCTAGTCTATAGTCTAGTCTATAGTCTAGTCTATAGTCTAGTCTATAGTCTAGTCTATAGTCTAGTCTATAGTCTAGTCTATAGTCTAGTCTATAGTCTAGTCTATAGTCTAGTCTATAGTCTAGTCTATAGTCTAGTCTATAGTCTAGTCTATAGTCTAGTCTATAGTCTAGCCTATAGTCTAGTCTATAGTCTAGTCTATAGTCTAGTCTATAGTCTAGTCTATAGTCTAGTCTATAGTCTAGTCTATAGTCTAGTCTATAGTCTAGTCTATAGTCTAGTCTATAGTCTAGTCTATAGTCTAGTCTATAGTCTAGTCTATAGTCTAGTCTATAGTCTAGTCTATAGTCTAGTCTATAGTCTAGTCTATAGTCTAGTCTATAGTCTAGTCTATAGTCTAGTCTATAGTCTATAGTCTAGTCTATAGTCTAGTCTATAGTCTATAGTCTAGTCTATAGTCTAGTCTATAGTCTAGTCTATAGTCTAGTCTATAGTCTAGTCTATAGTCTAGTCTATAGTCTAGTCTATAGTCTAGTCTATAGTCTAGTCTATAGTCTAGTCTATAGTAGTCTAGTCTAGTCTAGTCTAGTCTAGTCTATAGTCTAGTCTATAGTCAAGTCTTTGGTCTAGTCTATAGTCTAGTCTATAGTCTAGTCTTTAGTCTAGTCTATAGTCTAGTCTATAGTCTAGTCTATAGTCTAGTCTATAGTCTTTTCTATAGTCTAGTCTATAGTCTAGTCTATAGTCTAGTCTATAGTCTATAATACAATAATATAATAATTGTATAAACCAGACAGTGGAATCATAAGTCAATTTAAATGATTATGTAGTAAAGGAAAAAGATAATGAATGAGAATGCACATTCAGATTCGGATCATGACATGACAAAAGAATCTAGAGAAGAACCTTCATCATTACTTTCATTAATAATGAAAGTAATGTGCCAGATTCACATGAAGTTAATCTCTCTCTATTTAAAAATTTCGATTTTCCATGCCTGTTCTAGAAGGTTGGCTTGGTCGTCTGTAATGCTCGCATGTGCGTGAGATCTGTTAGGTTTTAACCTAGATGCTGTTGTAAGTGTTTAATATTCCAAAAGATTTGTTGGTATTCAATTGAGCAGAGTAAATAGGGAATTTCGATGTTATCTGTAATGGCCCGGTTGACGCAATAGCAATAACATAAAAGTTGTATTGTAATATTATTTTCAGAAATTTTGCTAAGATTGCGAAAATTTATATTTTATTCTCACATTTAAATTTCACAACTAACAATTAAGAAACAGCAAACAAATTATCTACTCCCCATGATGATTCATGCGATATAAATTTAAACAAATACATTTTTTAAATGTTCATCTTCTTGTTTCTTCTTCTTTTGTATTTATCATTTAACAAACGTCATATTTTTTTCTTTAATTTTTTTTATTTTATAGCCCGGCTACGACAGCTTTTGCTGGAAATGCCACGAAACCGAAGTGAATCTGTGTTGCTGCAAATGTATACGTAGTTTTCATGCAGCCTGTGTTAAAATTAATAAATTTGATAATATATGGTTGTGTCCCGAATGTACCACTGTTGATAATATGTTAAATAATCCAAAAAGGTAAATTGCATTTCCTAATATTAACATTAATTTTGTTTTTAAAACCTTTTTTTAATATCTATTGAAAGGTCACGACGTAATGAACTATCTTTGGATTTGCTAAGTCAATTACTATCGTTTGCTTTAAAACGTATGCGTTATACTAAAGGGGTAAGTTGTTTATAAAATAAATATGTATTTATTTTGAATTTGGTTTTCAAATTTTATGATTTTCTATTAATGTTGGAAAAAAATGATAGCATTTGCAAAACTTTGTCCTTGAGAGATTTGTTATTAAAACTATCTAAAAGAGAATGCTTTTTTTTAACAGCACCTCTGTTACATACATATGTTTTTTATTTGTTTACAAATGTGTTTAATGTTTTTCTTAAAACATAATAATCGTAAACTTTAATATATAAAAAATATTGCAAAATATATTTCTTACTTAATTTTTAGTTTCTGTAGTTTCTAATGCAAAAATTAAACCTTAAAGAAAAACTTAACACTAAAAGTATCTACCTTAACATAAATAATTAATAAATTTGTATAAATAACGTATGCCTACTTTTGTTTGCTTAATTAGCGATTTCTTTTATATATATTTTCTTTATTTATAACTCTCTTTTTTTACTTTTTCTCATTATACAAATTGCTCTCAAACAAAAACATTAAAATTCGCCCTCTTTTTTCTTTTACTCTCACATAAACTCAAACATATTCACTCGTACGTGAATGTTTGTTTGTACTTTTACATTCATGTCAATAATTAATTTGTAATTTTAGTATATGTACGTATAAAGCAAATTGAGGTTATGTTTATTTGCTATTTTTTATTTTAATTGAACAAAGAATTACATATTTTTTTCTTGTGTTCATTATATTACGCATTTTTTATCTATAAAACTATAGCGTAATATAAAGATTATTGTTAAATATAAATTATGATATTATGCAAAATTGAAATTATCTCTAATAGAAAAATATCGAGAGCCTATATTCATAAAGTGTTAACTCTATAATATCTAGTCTAGAAGAGCATAAAATAAAAAAAAACTATTTAAATTGTTAAATATTACACAAAAAGAAAGTGTTTTGTGCGTAATATACATATATTTTTAATAAGTTTACTAGTTCCTATTAGCAAACTTATTTAAGATAGATTATTTTTCTGATCTGTCGAATGTTTAATTGAAGAATGTTATTGTATTGCGTATGACGATAAAATCATACTTAATAGGGATGTAAAATTACCGTCTTAATTCGATTCTTTCTTCTAGTTCAATCTCCTACTATTTTGCTTCTGTTGTTGTTGTTACTGTAGCACTGTCACGTGTAAACTCGCTCGTGCTGAGTTAACAATTCTTGATCGTTGTTCGTATAACTCCGAGTTGTTCCGGTGCTAAGAACTGATTGTCTTGGGATCGTATTTGCATAAGAGAGAACGTATTTCTCCCTCTTATCCTTTCGGTTTTTTATTAGTCTTCTACATTTCCTCCTCCCTCTGTATATATTCTTTATTCTCTTACAAACAAGCACAAGCGTCCTTTTGGACCCAAGAGTATCTGTGACACTTTGTGTGATGTTACAGCCTGATGAACCTAATCTAGATCAATGAGTGACAACGTACACTTTCCGAATTGGGAAAATTGCCTTGAATCTAGTGAACTGTTTGAGGAAAAAACTATCGGCAATAGACGAATTATTACAACAGGAACAATTCCCAGAAGAGTCTCGATCCTTTTATTTTTTTTTAATCAAATTCGAGTCTTTTATGCGCTTATTTTCGGATCATAATTTATACTGTTATTAGCCTCTCTAATGATCAGTTTCGAATCATTTTTGAGTTGAATTGCTGATTTTTTTGTGTGTCTGAGGGTAGAGGGGGGAGCTGGAGAAAATGCACCACCTCAGTCGGTCTTAATCATAGGACTATGCGGCGCAAACTTGTAGACCTAGCGGGACAAATAAAAGCATATTGTCGTGAGGACTTTGATGACAAGCAGGGAGACGGTTTAAAGTGCACCAATCAGCTTTTACTTGCGCTAAGATGGTTCTCGAATGCTGGGTAATTGTCTCTCAAAATCTGATATCGCAGGGGGTAGTTCATTTAGGAATCTGTTGCACATGTAGCCGTTAATGGCTTCAGTGATCGCCATTAGATACAACATTTTTCGGGAGCTTGCAATTGACAGCAAAAGTGTGGGAAGTTCATCCGGATGTGCCTGGGAGGGGGGTCGGTGTGACTAAGGGTGGTCGGGGTGACTAAGCAGATGGCATGCCAACAGTCTGGTCAACAACTCATTATGTTGTCTTACTGACAGTAAGCTGATCTCATGTAGGTGATCCAAATTCGTGCATTATTCTTGCCGCTTCTAAAGCTTACTAACACTGGGTATTGCTGAGGAGAGAGGAGCAGCTGGAGCAGCATAATTGATAAGTGAGAGACCAATTGCCTTATATGTCGCTACAATCGCCTTCTTATCGATGACCCAAGAGCTTTAAGAACCTTATTTCTATTACGAACCTTTTGGTTCATGCTAAGGACTAATGTTTTCGGGTTGTGAACCCTGAGATAATTTGACGAAGATGTTAGGCGAATCCTTACTTCTTTGGTAAAAGATGTGAAAAGCGGTAACGAGGATTTTGAAACATATAACCTGAGTTTGCGTTCCTGAAAAAAGTCTGTGATGGTTGCCAAGACAAACTTCGAATATAGACCAAAGAAGAAGGGACATGAGGGAGGACGTTACTGGATGATCTCTGACATACATCTTATGTGACACTATCAACCAGTCCTAGGAGAGTAGATGGGATTGAAAAGTTCTAATGCCTTATAGTCACAAATCGTTGCATAGAAAGAAATACTACTTGCTGCAGTACTCAAGCAATGTTAAAGTAGCTTTAACAATCTTGTTTTTTCTCTATTATAAATTAGCTCATACTTATTATTTATTCTCATTTCAGCACTATAACTTTGTGATGCCCTATGAGGAGTCAACAATTTATAAAAAATACATAGTAAATCCGGTAACATTAACAGAATTGCAGGCGAAAATCGAAGCAAAAGAATTTCGTTGTGCCGAAGAATTTGTTAATGAAACTAAGTGGATGTTACACAATGCCTACATACTAAGTAGTCGCAGTAAGTTTAAACGTAAAACCAGTTAGCAACAAGATAAATTTATTTATTTTTCCTTTATATTACAGATAATACAAAAATTGTATTAGCGGCTAAATCAATATTTAAAATATGTCGTCAGGAAGCCAATGAAATTGAAACCTGTGCAGAATGTTATTTAAATGCTAATACCAGAACTGATTGGTTTGTCGATGTGTGCTCACAGCCCCATTTACTATTGTGGGCTAAGCTAAAGGGTTTTCCCTATTGGCCGGCCAAAGCTATGGGTTTGGGCCAGAACTCTTTAATAAATGTACGTTTCTTTGGCGAGCACGATAGGGCATTTGTGCCCTTAAAGGATTGTTTTCTTTATTCTGAACAAGATCCTAATACAGCTACGGGCAAGAGGGCGGCTAGAGAATTGGCCGATTGTATTAAGGAAGTGGAAGAGCATGTGGAAAAAATTAGAACAAAAGTGGGAGGTTTTAAATATGCCCCATTTAAGACACCCTATGAGCCAGCAGAAGAAATGAAACAATTGGCCGAAATGATGCCGGGAGTAGAGGATTTTATAAAAAAACAACAAGGCATGATAATAAAACCTCCTTTACAGTTTAAAATCTATAAAACTGCCGATAATAACTTGTCTATTGTACAAAAAGCCTCACCTACGCCAGAATTACCTACCAACACTCATGATAGTGATGACAAGGATAAAGATAAGGAAAAGGATAAGAAGAAAAAGTTATCAGGCGACAGCAGTGATATTAAGAAATTAGAAGAGTCTATAACATCGCCTCCCAAATATAAAGTTGTAACAAAAGTTAGTTCTGATGATAGCAATTCTTCGAAGCTAAGTACAGTTATATTAAAACGAAAGTCCGTAAATGGCGATTCCAAGAAAACAAATGAGGAGGAAACGGTTGATTTACCTTTACCCAAAATGACAAAAATAGAAGATCAGCCGTCCATGGAGGAAGATGTTAACAAATTAAATGCCAAACGTAAAGCAGAAGCTCAAGGTATGGAAAAGCCCAAAGCTAAACATACAAAATTAGAACCTAAAATACCCATAATGACTATTAAGACTTCAGTAGCAAAGGAACTAAACAGTGTTAGTGCCAACGAAAGTAATGCAAAATCTATGACAGAATTACAAATGAATGAAAAGGAAATCGGAAAACAAGAAAAAGAAACAACTTGTAATACACAGAAAGTTATGGAAAGTTTAGTGAAACATAAGCAGGGAGTAACTATAAAGAAAGTAGCTAAAGAGCAACAAAATTCCAATAGTCCAGAACAAATTTCCCTGAATAATTCTAAAGAAATGCCAAAAGAAGGTAATAAACAAAAAAGTGAAGAGGAAAAGGCAAGAGAAAATCAAAAAGTTAATAATATTCTAAAGGGATTAGTGCCATTTGTAGAAGTTAAACAGGAAGTTCTTTCCGAAAATGAGGAGGAAGCTGAAAAACCACAGCAAGATAAAACATTGGATAAAGAAACCGCAAAGAATCATAACAATGAAAATTTACAAAAGTCACAAGATCCAAAAGAAAATAATTTACAGAAACAGAATAACAATAATAATAAAACAGAAATCAAAACTAACGAAAAACCTTTAGAGAAAGAGGAAACTATTGGTTTAATAACCCAAGTTAAAGAAGAGGTTTTAACAGATGAAGAGGAGGCAAATGTAAATGCAAATACTACAGTTAATCAATCGACTTTAATAACTAAAGTTACTCAAAGTGGCAGCAGCAATACTAATGATAAACAAACTCCTACCACCACAGCAGGAGGGGATATACGAGTTGTGGGTGATACTACAATACAAAAATTATCTAAAAATCAACATTATATATACAGTACCAACTCAACTACCGCTAATAATACTAACAGTACTAGTAATGTTAACAGCAGTAATACAAAACGTTCCTCTTTAAAGGGTGTTCCTTATGGTCCACTACCAGCCTCAGCATTTCCAAAATCCTTAACATCTAACAAATCATTCCAACAATCGGATATTAGCCTACAGCCTAGAGCTAAGAAATCTTTTCCACAACATTCTCCGCCCATGGAAAAACTAAGACCCAGCAATAATCAAAATGCCGCCACACAAATGCCCTCACAATCAATCGGCCAACATTTGGATCAGAAGAGAACAATGTCGAAAAATACCATGGTAGCCATACCGGTAGATGTGGCCACAAATCGTGCTTCCACATCTGCGGGCACTATCATTATTGGTTCCATACCAGTACCGCCTTTAACAGCAGTCTCCAAGTCAGTGCCCTCAACGATGGCACACAATTCCACAGCACGCAATTCTCCTGCCACAATAACCGTTTCAGGAACAACTGGCAGTCTAACAACACCCTCTATATTGGCACAAGCTAAAACCTCTACAACAACAGTATCATCAGTCTCTTCTAGCGCCATTAGAAATTCCCCTATAACTGTACCATCGACATCTCTACTGGCACCATTAACGACATCGTCGTCATCATTATCATCCACACCGTTACCAACGACATTGAATCCCTTAACTATGACTACACCACCGCCTCTAGCAGGTTTATCCAACAGCAGCTTAATTGGAACACCCCAAACAAATGGTATTACTGATGCAAATAATACTTCAACACTTTCTTCTTCGCCAGCAACTCAACAGCCTTCTACAGATACACATCTATTAGGTGGCCTGGTTACTCCGACGTTAGCCTCAGCCATTACTGATGTTATTTGTAGGGGTCCGCCAAAGTTAGCAGCTCGACCAAGTGGCCCGCTACAATCAGAAGGTCATCCTATGTTTCCATCGCAGGCGGGACCTGTGTGCAAACGTTTGGTGGAAAATGTCCATAAGGTAAGCGAAAGGGATATTTTACCGATAAAACTATAGCCTCCAATATCTAAAATATACTTCCGACAATAGTCTTCTAGCCTATAGTCTAGTCTAGATTTTGTCTAGTCTATAGTCTAGTCTATAGTCTAGTCTAGTCTATAGTCTAGTCTAGTCTAGTCTAGTCTAGTCTAGTCTAGTCTAGTCTAGTCCTAGTCTAGTCTAGTCTAGTCTAGTCTAGTCTAGTCTAGTCTAGTCTAGTCTAGTCTAGTCTAGTCTAGTCTAGTCTAGTCTAGTCTAGTCTATAGTCTAGTCTAGTCTATTGTCTAGTCTATTGTCTAGTCTATTGTCTAGTCTATTGTCTAGTCTATAGTCTAGTCTATAGTAGTCTAGTCTACTATAGTCTAGTCTATAGTCTAGTCTATAGTCTAGTCCTATAGTCTAGTCTATAGTCTAGTCTATTCTAGTCTATAGTCTAGTCTATAGTCTAGTCTAGTCTAGTCTATAGTCTAGTCTAGTCTAGTCTATAGTCTAGTCTATAGTCTAGTCTATAGTCTAGTCTATAGTCTAGTCTATAGTCTAGTCTATAGTTTAGTCTATAGTCTAGTCTATAGTCTAGTCTATAGTTTAGTCTATAGTCTAGTCTATAGTCTAGTCTATAGTCTAGTCTATAGTCTAGTCTATAGTCTAGTCTATAGACTAGTCTATAGTTTAGTCTATAGTCTAGTCTATAGTTTAGTCTATAGTTTAGTCTAGTCTATAGTCTAGTCAATGAATTTGAAAATTATGAAAATTTTGCAATAAACTCAAATAATAAGCAATATAAATTCCTCAATTTTCAGCTAACGGATTTCTTTATATCGGTTGTGGAAGATACAATGGGTGAAATGGCCCAAGGAGACGATGCAAGTCTTCAGGCAAAAGTTACTCTGCTCACAATGGAATTGGAACGTAGTAAACAGGCATATGAACAAGAAATTGCCGAACTAAAACGTACTTCTGATCTAATGTTATGTGAAATGCGTAAAAGTATGGAGAATGAAAAGACACGACTAGCAATTGAAATACGCAAACAATGTGAAATGGAACGTATACGTTCGGTAGAGGAGACAAAACGCAAACAATGGTGTGCAAACTGTTTTAGAGAAGCAAATTTCTATTGTTGTTGGAACACCTCATACTGTGATTATCCTTGCCAGCAATTGCACTGGTCACGGCATTCACACACATGTGCACAAACTCGTGTTGGTCTAAATGAAACTACCAATGCCACCACAAATACAACACCACCAGAGGTAAGCTTTAGTAAAATTCAATTTATCTACATTTTATTTATTTATTTCTGTTTTAGCGTCATCATCCCACTAAATCGAATAGCACCATAACATTGAGTTCATCGGCTAATTTTAATAAATCAACAACAATTAGTCAAAAGAAAGAGAAGGGTAATAGTGCTAAGAATTCAGCAAATCATATGATGTCATCAACAATATCATCAGTCACACCAGCCTCTGCGTCACGTTCGAATACCGAAGTATTAAAACTACCAACGAATACATATTTAAGACCGGTAACAAATAATCTAAATAATCAAACATTGCGTTGTAATACAACATACAGTATACCGGTTCAACGTTTTAGTGCACCGGTAAGTTTTAATGATAAAAATAACGTACACAAATATTTCATTGAGAGTAGAACTAACAATGCTACATAATAGTAAAAATAATTGAACTGATAACCTTAAAGAGAGAGAGAAGAGAAATAGCAAAAACGTGTAAACAATCTGACTAACGGTTTGATATGTATTGAATATACATGTATGTGTACATGTATATATTTCAAATACCTACTTATATAAAAGAACGCAAATGAATTTAACAGAAATTTGTATAGCGTATATTAGTCTATAGTCCCAACTTTAGTTTAGTCCTGACTATAGTCTACTCTATAATCCTGACTATAGTTTAATGTGTAGTCCTGACTATAATATTGTCTACAATTTCGATTATAGTCTAGTCTATGACTTAGTTTATAGTGCCGGTTATAGCCTAGTCTATAGTATAGACTACAGTCTAGTCCATACTACAGACTAAAGTTTATAGTCCCCATTACAGTTCAGTCCGTACTCTCGACTATAGTATAATCTGTAGTCCAGACTATAGTCTAGTTAATAATCTCGACAAAAGCCTACTCCATAGTCCCGAATATAATCTAATCTGTAGTCCCAACCTTGGTCTTTTCTTTAGTACCGACTTCAGTATTTTCTATAGTCCCTACTGTAGACTTGTCTATAGTCTAGACATTAGTCTTTTCTGCAGTCCGACTTTAGTTTACTCCCAACTATAGACTTGTATTGATTCCCTAGTATAGTCTAGTCTTTTCTTTACTCCCGACTATGGACTTTTTATAGTCTAGTCCGAAGTCTACTCTGTAATCTAGTCTACATTTTAGTTCAGTCTAGTCTACATTTTAGTTCAGTCTAGTCTAGTCGAGTCTAGTCTAGTCTAGTCTAGTCTAGTCTAGTCTAGTCTAGTCTAGTCTAGTCTAGTCTAGTCTAGTCTAGTCTAGTCTAGTCTAGTCTAGTCTAGTCTAGTCTAGTCTAGCCTAGCCTAGTCTAGCCTAGTCTAGTCTATTCTAGTCTATTCTAGTCTAGTCTATAGTCTAGTCTATAGTCTAGTCTATAGTCTAGTCTATAGTCTAGTCTATAGTCTAGTCTATAGTCTAGTCTATAGTCTAGTCTATAGTCTAGTCTATAGTCTAGTCTATAGTCTAGTCTATAGTCTAGTCTATAGTCTAGTCTATAGTCTAGTCTATAGTCTAGTCTATAGTCTAGTCTATAGTCTAGTCTATAGTCTAGTCTATAGTCTAGTCTATAGTTTGGTCTATAGTCTAGCCTATAGTCTAGTATATAGTCTAGTTTATAGTCTAGTTTATAGTCTAGTTTATAGTCTAGTCTATAGTCTAGCTTATAGTCCCGACTATAGTATAAGTCTTTACACAAGACTTTACTCAAGTCAATAGTCCCGACCTCACTCTTGCTTATAGTCCCTACTACACTCTTGATCATAGTCCCATCTAAAGTCTCGACTTGAAAAAATTTTGATCCATCCATAACATTGCCTTGTAATATTATTTAACAAAAACTCTTTTTTTCCTTTCAGATGCCCATTTCAACACCTGCCAACAGCAATAATGCACAAACATATACGATTGTACAGCAGGGTAATAGTTGGGTAATGAGCAGTACACCCAATAATGGCAACAGTAACAGCAATAACGTCAATAATTCTGCTACAAATTCAGCAACAATAGCAGCACCTATTGCAAATGTACCACAAGTTCCAGGACAGCAACGCTCTGCTGGCAACAGTGTGGGTTCCATAATGACAAATAAATCACAAAAAACACAAATACGTTATCATTAAAAACTTTTTAACATGTGTAAATAACTTAACATAAATGCAACGGTAGCATCCATATAACAGCCACTAAATATTACTTAATTATTGCAGACTCTAAATATGTGAAAAAAATAAAATAAAAAATTGTGATATAAAATTCGTTTGCCGGCTAACTGCATACAATTTCAAAAGTGTTGACTTCACTGTAAATAATTCATTTAATTATAAACTATTATGTATGTTAATACAAATATTTAAAAAAAGTATAGAATCATAAAAATGAGAAAAAAGAAACATGCAACGATTTTTCTTTGAAAAAAACGCTAGCATTTTTTTGTACATATATAATTTATAATAATATTTAATTAAGTAATTAGTTTTATAATTTTATTGTTATTATTTTATATTTAACTATTAACTTAAAGGTTTGAAAGAAATTCACAGTTTGTTTTTATAAAACGAATGATAAAACAAACGTTTTAACAATATGTTAATGAGCATGAAAATAAAATCAGATCCTGTTATTAAAAATTTGTATAAAAATTGCCTTGAAGCACAAGATTTAATATCTCTATCTCTCTATTGCAAGTGTCATCTACAAAATTGCCCCTTATTATTTTATCATACGTTTTATAATTATAAGTTGTGTTTATTTCAAAAGGAAAAATATCATAAACGTTCCATTAACTATTTATAACTTTGTACATACTACATATACATACATACATTTTTTTTATTTTCTTGTTTAAAAATTTAAATTCACACGTACATGCGTATACACACTATTAATATCTAATGTATTTTATTTAAGCTAGAACTGTTATTATAAGCTTTTAATGAAACAACTTTAAAATAATAAAAAAAAAAACAAAATTAAAAAGAATATACAGTACCTTATCATTAAGGTATTGGTTATCAGCATCAAGAATAAATGAAATGAATTCAAAATATTTATAATATAAAATTGTTTTCTTTAAAATTAGATTAAGCGTTACTATAAATTATATTAATTATTATGATTTAAATCGAATATATTTTGTTTAATTTTAAACTAAATGATGTGGTATTTAACAAAACTTTGTTAAACAAATGTTCATGTTTTCAAAGAATTTACAGACTGTAGCTTCAATCATGTTCAGCTGTGTTCAGGTGTGATTATTAGTATTATTTTAAAACCAAACAAACCCGCTTATATATAAGAAATATATCACCTTGTGAAGTCCCAATGGTGTCGTACGTAAATGATTAAATTATCCTTTCCATAGGTGTCTACGACAACTTCACTTTTTCTCTCACGCAGCAGACATCAACCGAAAGTTCTTAAATAGGTGCTTAAAAATCTTGCTGACACTTCTTGGAGTATCAATAAATACTTCAAACTTCAGTCCCCATAGTTTTTTCAGTTTCCATACAGTAATTCTGCATACTTTTTAGAAATGAACGCTCAATAACAGTGGAACTATCGCAACAACAATAATGTCTCGTAAAATTTCAAAACATAAGAAGCTGAGAGGAAATTCTGTGAAATTTACGTAATCCGTAGTTTGGATCAATTTAAAGCATTGGGACTCGAAGATGAAAATAATAACTTGCTGATTATGATCAACAGTTCGATGTCACAATAAACCGCAAAGAAGGACGGTGCACCATAACGTAGCGGATCTACAATATACATATATAAGTCTGGAAAATGCTATTATTTTAATCATAAGCTAAAGTTCCGGAAGAACAGCAAAACTTTCTAATATTGTTGGCCTTTTGATGCTTACTGCCAATCGTTCTATATGTCTATATAAGGATTGGTGATTCCAGTGCGGTTAAAATGCTGCCCTAAGGACCGTTACAGGTTGCCTAGAGATATTCTTAAAACAAAAAATTTTACCGTCGTTGAAATCATTCTTGAGGAACGCCAGAAAACATCTTCTCGCCACTTAACGATATACAATAATCAGCTGCAACTTCGTACTTGGAGGTTGACAATTAGTACAGTCGAAAACCATATTCACACTTCAATCAATGCCATCTCACTCCATTCCGTAGATGGTGAAAGATCTTCGTCTTGTTGAAGTGGAGCAATATTTTTTCTTTTATCTCAACGGTGTAGAACCATAATTAAAAATATAAACTCCCAAGGGCGAGTAGTCCAATAACTGCTAATTATATTCAGTTGAACGATTCCATGTTTAAAACAGTGGATTCTTACAAGAGACAACAATAAATGTATGGGTCGATTATGTATGGCAACTTCAATTGCGTTGGCTCAAATCAACCGAAAACTCATTGGACGAATATTATTAATAATTAAAACATTCATTATTATAATGCTTCCAAGTTATTGATCAAAAAGCGTTCAGTAATCTCATCAATTTGGCAACTGGCAACGCAACTTAAGTGGCAACCGAAATACATAATCAGTTATCTACCACCTGTTGTGTATAAATTTGGATCTAAGAAGTAAAGAGTTGTCTAATAGGCCCGAATTGGATGATATTGACACAAACAACTTGTTATCAACAGTGCGTTGCTACGTGCAAATAATTTATGCGATACTGAACATTCAGCATGAGCCATTAGGGACATCGTCAACTCTCGTGGAGATAATATGAATTGGCTACTAAGATAAAGCGATTTGATCCAGTTTCATGTAAGGTTTTCTTAAGCTTTAGCAGCAAAATTCAGACTGATTTATTCGGCAGTTTAAGGGATTTCATTCACGACACTTGTCATACTCATCACACTGTTTTGGAACATTCTGCTGCCAACATAGTCCAACAAAAACGTTAAAAGTTTAAAATTTCTTCATTGCGCCTAATCTGAAGTTTTTGGCGACCACGAAACAGGTAAAACTTAACTTATCAAAGAGCGTACAAAATGTTGTCACAAATGTTTATTAGGTCAAGGAACTAAACTTCATGATAATGCATAAGTTTATTCGGAGATGCCACCAGAAGAGTCAGTCTATGTTTAATATAGTTAAGAAGTTTCCTCCACTAATAAGGCCCACTATTGTTAGGGCCATTCATCTCTTCTACATTACTCGCAAACGTCGAAACCTATTGTCTAGTAAAAAAAACAAGAATCGTCAAGGCACATCTAATATGGCATGGCAATCAGCTATTATGAATATAATGTGGTCCTGGGTTCCCAAAAAAACTCTACGTATTAAATTTTTCTAACAATTCTGATTCACTACGTCCACAGGTTTCATGAAAAGTGCAATATTAACCAAAATCTGGGATGATCATTTGTGGTCGTAGTTTTTCTCTTTTATAAATATAGTCTATTTTCTATAATATTGCTGCAATTTGAACACAATTTCATTCATTCGGCTCTTGTTCAACCGATTTCAAACCAAATTTACTTAATTAAAGAAACCCTGCTTAACATTTCAAACACCCCATCATATTTTGCTTTATTAAAACACAGTTTCATATTTCACATTCGGAAAATTAGAATGTACTTAATCTATATCCAATTTCTTAAAATTACCTTCTATACCAAATAGATCAGAAGCATTTTTAGGTTTACCCGGTCGCATTTTTTCATTAATACGATGTAAACGTTCATTCTCTAAAATTTCCTGACGATTGTCGCGTAATTTTTGATAATACACCTCTGTAAAATGAATATTATAAATTTTAGTTATAATAAAGTTGTAACAAAAACCTAACCTTTCATATTAAGCATATCCGGTTCGGGTCCATTGTAATCTTGGGGTAAAATTTCTTTTGGCACAAATTTATAAAAATCTTCCAAAGTATTGTGTAAATGTAAAATACTGAGCAGTTCTTTTTTCATAAATGGATTCATTAAGGCTAAAATTTTATCCATAAATGGTACAATGTTGATAAAATGGAAGCCCACCAAACGTACAGGAGCAGCGTCCTATAATGTAATGGAATAACGATTATTTTGTACATTCATATCATGTTAAAATTAGCATTATGATTAGAATGTTACTTTCAGTTCGAAAATAAAACTGTTCGAATTTGTAACACTTTCGAAAGAAATTCCGATTGCTCAGGATCTCAAAGTCCAATTAAAGGAATACACAATACCTTACCTGTAAATAGAACAAAAACTTTTTCATTTGCAATAAGCCAACACGTGCCACATGACCCAGTGTACAACCTTTAAGATCGATGACAATTATATGACCGGGACGTAAACCATCTTCCAGCACCCAAACATCAAATATTAGACAATATCTACAAAAAAAATTAAAAGAAAATAATTTTACAAAATCGTTATATTAATACATAATAACATTTAAAGTATTTTTTATTAACTTTAATTAAATTAAGAATACTTTTAAGAATTTTTTTTTTATCAAATTCAATTAAATTGCAATTGCGTGTTAAATTTTTTGTATTCTAACAAATCTAGCATGTCAAAAATACTCGTTCGATTAGATATATAATTAATCTTTGTATTTAATAATTAAATGTTCATACATACATACGTATCTACATATGTGTGTATGTATGTACTAAAATGCAATTTTTGAAACAAATTAAATTATTCCATAATTGTTTATTATTTATTTAAATAGTAATTTAAATGTCAAACTGTCCTGTGAATGTTAAATAACAGGTTATGTTTTTTAGTGAAAGTAGCTGCATTTTTACTATAGACTAGTCTTGACTACAAATCAGTCTATCGTCTTGACAATAAATCAGTCTATAGACTTGAATATAGATCAGTTTATAGTCTTGACTATAACACAAAGTATACGGAGGTGTCATCTTTGACGTTTAAAAAAGTATGAAACTTGTGTAGAAAGAGATAGAAAGAGTTTTTTGATCGTGACGCCTCTGTAAACCCTGTGACTATAGACTATTCTGAAGTGTTGACTATAGATCAGTCTATAGTCCTCACTATAAAAGAGTCTATAGTATTAACTATAGATCTGTCTATAGTCTTGACAATAAATCTGTCTATAGTCTTGACTATAGATTTGTCTATAGTCTTGACTATAGATCAGTCTATAGTCTTGACTATAGATCAGTCTATAGTTTTGACTATAGATCAGTCTATAGTCTTGACTATATATCAGTCTATAACATTGACTATAAATAAGTCTATAGTCTTGACTATAGGTTTGACTATAAATCAGTCTACAGTCTTGACTATAAATCAGGCTATAGTCTTGACTATAAATCAGTCTATAGTCTTGA